CTGACTGTTCGTAACTTTACGTACATCGCACGTCGTTGCATGCTGGATGGATGGCAACACTGCCAGACTGTCATCGAGGAGGTCATCTCTTGAGTTCGGTCGAATCGACGGAAGACGGTATGAGATAACATCTTCGCTATGTCTAGCGTTGACTACCGTAGTCACTGCACTGCAGTGTTGGAAACAAGGTTCCCTTTTCTCAACTGAGCTCAGGAGTTTCCTCACTTACTACAGACGTTTACATACGAACTCCGATAGAAGAGGACGGAAACCACCAGGCGTCCCCATATTGTCATCAACAATTGTAGTTGTCCATGGGCGTATCTTCCCACACTGAGTGTAGCAAGCTCAGCTCAAGGTGTTGTACGTGGATAAAGCAGTGATGGCACCATTTTGATGGTGAATGATCGCGGAGCACCCAACGGTGCCTTTTCTTGCAGGAGTGCCCAACCTGCTCATTTCCATTCCCGATATAGTGGAACACTGTATCTCGACTGTTCTAAGTAACTCCTACGCAACACTGCAGGTCTCGACCTCAGAAAGTCCATATAACACGCCTCGAAGAATAGTCGAACAACTATCCAGAAATCAGTCAACATGGCCAGTTCTCCTCGTCAAGCCCCAGATGGAGCACAGGGCATGTCCGCGGTGACTTCCACATGTACCTCATCCGAGTTCCCCAGCCTGCTATAACTCACACTCTCAGAGTAGACTATACATTGTCCCCATGCCCTCAAACTGATGTGTTTTCTGTCAAGATCGCTCTCTATCCCATCACAGTGGTAGTGTCTACAAGTGTCAGTATCGGGATAGAACACTATATTATATTCTCATTGACAACACCGACCATAAAAGATCATCGTTAAGACTATAGAGGAGGAGAATGCTCAGCCATCGCCTTCGTCAAAATCGGCTGGTTTGTCCGGCCCGAACATACACAAGTGGCCGAGTCCTCGAGCCTCCATATCCTCCACCAGGCATGCACGATACTCCTCGAAGTACTCATCACAAGAGAGAGCTAGATCCCCTCGGAGGAACGCATGCCGGTACCTATGATGATTTGCAGAAGTTGTGGTAGTAGTAGCAGTAGGGATGTACCAGTTGTTGAAGCATTGGTCGTATCGATCCTTGAGATGCTTGCACGACTGAATAGCTTCTTTATGAGCATCCGCTACCTTCCGGCCGTCCTACAGCGAGAGGAAATTGATGGATACCCTTGTGCACTATGACGACACTACATTCGGATCAACTTCCTCGACTCTGGCCGCCGATGTCGCCTCCTTTGACGTTGTTGCCTCCTTATTACTGTCCTTCTCTGCACTACCATTATCCTCCTTTTTCCCTCCCCATAACCAACCCATTTTTAGTAAGTCAACTAACGAGGTGACCATCCACCCTCCAGCTCTCCCTCAGGCCCACACTAGCTCAAGTCGAAGACGTCGAGGCGATGGAGACACGACAAATATGACAATATTAAAAGTGTAACGATGCGTACAAAAAGTCAACAAAGTTAATCCTACAACCACGGGCTTGCGTCGAGGTGGTTGGTAGCATATTTAACACTACGAGTGAAGCGTTGGAGTTCCTCCTTACACCGTGTCACCACCCCTCGAAGACGTATCTGCTGTGTAGACAACATGCTCCTGTGATGGGAGCTGACCACCGATGTGGATGGGGATGCCCTCAACTGTCTCGTCGAGGACGCTATGTGATGTCCAATCATTAGCGCGGACTCTAGGAGGACTAAGAGTTCCTCTACGTCCTCCGACCCGAAGGCCTCTAGGTCCCCTATAGCACGGGTCAGCTCAGCCAGGCCCTTTGCATAGGCTTCCTCATCACAACCACCATCCATACTACATATACGGTCGGCAACAGCGACCGCCACATGGGCACTTCCGAGCAGCTTACGGCGTTTGTCTGCTGAACCTTCGATGTCAGGTGATGGGGTCGAACCCGGGTCACTGTTATAGTCACGAAGCCAACCCCATACGTTAGATAGCCATGAAGCATCGTGCATGCCATGATCGCAAGCACTGGCCAAAATTGCACTACTACTTGACGCGCCGAAGGAAGGCGTTACCGAGGCATTGTCAGCGACGAGCTGACCTCCTGGTGTTGGTACACGAAGTAAGGCTTCTGTGGGCTGCCGAGTAACAGGACTACTGTGACGATGCATCAGACCCTTGTCCTTCTCCCTGCCGTCAATGACGATTAGCCGAGGGCTAGACCTATGCTGTTCACTAGATGATGATGACACGCTACTGCCAATAGACTCTCTAGATCTCGAGAAGACCCCCGGCATTTCCATTCGACACTCAGCGACTGTTGGTGGGCCCTGTCGAGGTGGCGGTCGGCCCTCTAGGGCAGCGTGGGTCAGCGCTAGTGCCTCATCTGAGTGAGGATCATCTCGTGGAGTAGCCACAGCCTGCTGTGCCAGGGAAAATATCCTGCTACCAAAGCCAGCCAAGTACTCAGCACTAGCCATAGCGGCCGCCTCGATCCCAGAAGAGAGATCGTCCTCAAGTTGCCCAACATCCCCTGGTGCCCAGAAAGGATGCCTCGTCTCCATCGGCGTACCCAACACGACAGACCCTAGTCGAGCACGAGGCAGTGGGGAGGGAGTATCAGCCTGCGTAGGTACACTGACCACTGCTGATGATGATGGCAACACTTCCTCATTACCTCTCACAGATCCACCAGAAACAGTAGCAGGCGATAGTACAACCCTATACGGAGCCTCAGGCGGCTCGGATCGATGATGGTCCGGAACCATAGCGGGTGCGCTAGACGACGATGATGACGATGATGATGATGATGATAAAGAAGGAGAAGAGGAACTTGTAAGAGATTGCCGAGTAGATTCTGGCGAGTGAGGCACCTCATCAGCTGAACCTCCATGTCGGTTGACGGGGCTATCGCCATCGACGGGCACCCCAACCGAGTCCCCCTCCAATACTGATATCGGCTGGTGCTGCTGCTCCGCTACGGCTGAGACCTTCCTGGACACATCAGTAGACTTTACCATTGCCTCAGCCAGCTGCAATGCCTTGGGAGAAGCCAAGGTCGACTCCTCTCCATTCCCTAAGCTATCCACCAAATCAACCGTCCCTATTCCCTCCAACTCCAGCGGACTGTGGGCAGCAGGAGCATCACCATCTCCACCAGTCTCCACTGGTCCAGCCAAATCGATGAGATCAGCCTCTCCACAACTAGTGCCGGTAATCTCACCCGAGCCGGTAGCCGTACTGCCATTAGCTGCTGATTCAACAATGTTGGAGAACTCCTTCAGTACCATAGGGGATATAGCGCTGTCCTTGTTTATGAAGGTCGGAGTGCCCAACATAGGACACTGAGCATACCAGCCGGCAGTCTCGAGGCAAAGGCCAATGAGGAGCAGCTCCGGAAGGCCCATGTCGTCAGCGCTTGGCTGGGCCCCGAAGACCGCTATGTAGACGGGAACAGAGCACGCAACACAGCGGGATGCAAAGTGAATGAGGGTCTCCTTTGGGAAAGAGGCGAGGGTCTCTACATGGAAGATGAGTAATAGAGCGATATCGCCAGGCTGAGGGAAGATACTATCAAGGTCGAAGGCTGTGGGGCAGGCCGTCGAGTCGTGATGGGAGGAGGCCTCCACAGAGTCAATGAGCTGCTGGATATTTACTAGTCCCAATTTAGGATACTTCAACAGCGCCTCAGGAGGAGAATTCAACCGGACTTCAACGCTGGCGGATGAAAGCGTGGACTCCGGCAGATGTAACGGAAGTGTGGTAAGAAACTCGCGAAGGGATGTGGTTAATATAGTGCCTTACACAAACTCCTTCGCCACAATCGATCTTGCTACTCTTACTACCATATTTAGCTCGTATTCCCCAGCCTAGTCCATCGTGATCGTTGCAATGCAGAGTACCCATCCCTCCATTGGCAGTGAGCTTAGTAGTCCTCTCCCTGACCAGTTCAGCCACCCGGTGTCGGCGCTCTTGTTTGGAAAGGACGGATAGTCGCAGCCAAGTTGATCCTGAGAGGGACATTCAATACTCACGAGGATACGTTGATGACTATTACCACTCTCGCATTCCTTGAGGACTTGCTCCCTGATGTCAGCCTCCAACTCTGCCCTAGTACATAGGGGAGCGCGCAGCCTTGGATTGCCGCTGTCGATATAGAGTAGGATCCTATCGGGTCCATTGACGCTGATGGACATGGAAAAATGAAGGGCTGAGCCGATCGATGGAGGAATAGTGATAATGTCATCACAGTAAGGCAACAACAGAGGCGGTAAGAGCAGGGGTGGGCGTAAGCCAGCAGCAGATGCCACGATAGTTGACTGTGGCCATGGGAGACACTCTGTGTTCAACTGGGCTCTGGGCGACACCACTACGTCGCAGGAGAGGCAAACAACAGAGGTGTTGATAAGGGGGATGCGGGGAGACGAAGACGTAGAGACATCGTCATCAGTGTATTATGCACACACTACACCTTTCCCCTCCAAGTTTGACAAGTGAACGCATAAGTTCGACAGCGTTACACGCAAGAATGTCAGCGTGCTATACAAGTTTGACACCTCCCCAGATGTTACATTCAAGTTCGCCAGAGTGACATTCAAGTTTGATACCATCCTTTGAGGTTATATTCGAGTTCCACACTATTGAAAGCAAGCTTGACACGGCCAGAAATGTTTTATACAACTTTGACAATAAACGCCCAAGTTTGACACTTCAACGCAACAGGGAAAAGTAGCAAAGACGAAAAATACTCCTATGCTACTCATCCCTGTTGCGCGCTGACACGGTGTGGTACGCTAACTTTCTTGCGTGTAACGCTGCCAAACTTGGATGGGAAAAGGTGTAGTATTGGTGGTAAAGCCCTACAGCGGAGTCGTGAACAATTGACCGTATACGAGTAGCATAAAGCCTATAGGGGGAACCAGCGTCGATAGGTCTAACTCATCCTATGAAAATAATGGTCCTCATACATCAGTAATAGGGTTACAGTGGCCTCTACCTACGCCCATAAAGGGAAAGGGGACGAGGAGCACCTACGACCACGACACGACGTGGTGTTGTGACGATCATGCACGCATGCACAAGAAAAAGCGTACGGCCGATAATCTCGTAGCATTTTGCGCTGTTGGCCTAGTCAATTGCCCCTCTGTATTTCATCATAATAATGAGTGGTCCAGAAGATGCCACTGATGGGAGGAAATGGGGTACTCTATGGCAGAGTGGTCAAGACTTGGCGGCGGCCTTGCAGAGGCACTCACAGGACGTTGCTGCCAAAATACAGGTCCAGGCTCATGACCTAGCCAATCAAGTACTACTATCAGGATGCCCACTCTCCCTAGCTAGACGATGAGGCCCTTCTTAGGTATCCTCTATGGAATGGGGAGATAAAGTGACCACAGCTGTCCAACAGGTAGTGGAGAAGGTGGTAGTGATGGTCAAAATGTAGTCTTTAGTAGGCCGCTGAGACTCTCCATCGCGCAACGGCAGCCGCTGACTCACCCACCGAGAAGCTTAGCAGAAGGAACTCTATTATACAGCTGGCTGATCGGATATTCATAATACCCTTCCCTGAGAAAAATAGGGCCGCCTCAATTGCCGCGGCCCTTCCTGGCAATTGCAAGATTTTCAACATGTCGGAACGGAGGTCGGCTTTCGAGGAATCTTAGGTCGAAGTTTACCCATGATGGTTTACTAGGTACGATCCTTCAGAGGTGTTCCCAACGATGTCAGTAGTAGTGGAGGATATTACATTCCCTGGCCTACCCTACCCACCTCTTATCGAAACAGCTCAGATCTGTCTTCAAGTAGAGGAGTGGCTCAGTTCAGATCAAACACGATGTGTTGCGGTAGTAGTGCTGGGTCGACAGATCATAACCATAGACCACCTTGGGGTAGTTACACTGCATACCTAGTGGCCTACCTACTCGTACGGCTGTAGTATCGGCGTGCTTACTCTTCTGGTTATTCCCTGCCGACTACAGCCACCCTCTGGAAGCAGTACCCAGAGTATGCAAGGCTCTACGGTTGAAGGAGGACGACCTATTGCCGAGTCAGAGACGGTAGTAACTGTACTTTACTGTAGTACGGTAATAGCCCCTCCATGGTAGGTATCTCTCCCACTTTTACCGATGCATTTGCAGTAGTAGTATTAGTGATGAGGACAGCACTGACTCTACCGTGGGAGGGGATTACCTCACCCCTCTACCAGTCATTATGAAGATCGTTGAGGTCGTTGTGATGGCAAATGATAATTGCGATAGTGGTAATACGCGAAGCGAAGCGCTGTCTATTCCTCAGTGTTGCCTTGTAGACAGCACTCCTCTGGCCAACTCCACATCCAAGGTCGGATGGAGGCCCTATCTAGACCTATGGCAGCAGGGACGGAAATTGTATTCAAGTTGGGAACCCGTAGGGGACCATTCAGCACCAGCTAAGAGGTCAAGAGTAGACGAGCCCATCCTCACCTTTACCATACCTAATGGGGGTATACCTGTTAGCGAGGATGTAGTATTATGAGGGAGGGTTACTGAGTATCTCCTGTCGCAGGTCATTCTTAGGCTGCGGACCTACCCTGGGCCTCATACAGTGTTCCGTGTCCCTCTCCCATGCCCAGGGGTACTCTATCACGACCAGGCTACGCGTATATCACTTACTAGGGCCGACTTGGATAGCGGTGTTTTGTCGGAATTCGTGGATAACGTGGAAGTGCTCCTCTCCTTTTATGGTAGTGTTACTCTAGTATTGAGGGAGGGGCGGTAGTCTTGGTCGAGTCAAGATACACATGTCGATGACCATAGCCCAACGATACAGAATGCTCGGCAAGTCCTTGTTGATTGTCGGACCGGTTTTACGCGGCATTACACAGAGGACATCACGAAGGGTGGTAGCAGTAGGAGCAGATCCGGTCAGGAGGAGGAGGAGGTGTGTCGCTCTATTGGTGAAGGCTCGGTAGATGCTATTAGTGTCAGAAGGGCTCTCATAGAAGCCAGGGGGAGGCTGTTGTTAGTGACGGGGAGATCAGTGCTGAGGTCACTGCAGTTGTCGAGCCTCGAGTAGCCGAGACCGAGCAGCCCCCTGCCGACACGGAGGGCGATACAGAGGCTGGTGTTGGCAGCTCTCATGAGGGGGAGATGACCATACCGCTCGAGTCGCCAGTTGATGATGCAGATCTTGGTCTGGAGGATCTGTAATAGGAGGGGGGATGGGGCTAGGTGTCGATGGTATTGTGGTGATCAGGTATGGTTTAACAGAAGTGGATTATACAGCATGGGATGTCCCAGATGGCAACTCGCCTGAGCACTCGCTGTGATTCTCCCGATACTACTTTTATTTTCAAGAGGAGGCTGCAGTATGAGAGAAGCTACTGGTGCTACTATTGTTATCATTTTCATTATCACAAAATTGTCGTCTAGTGACCATTAACCCCTCGTAATATTGATTGTGAGGTTGTGCCCCCCGTCACAGTTCTTATCCTCTCAGTAGAGAGGGCTCGTACTGCTCAGCGGCTGGAGTCGTGCTGAATGTGTGTAGATGGCGCTGCTTGCGTTGACCAGTGATCATGGGAGGGGTTTCATCAACACTATCTGCAGGATGATGCTCCAGAGGAGAGTATTACTATTGTAAAACTCCACACTTTGGGTGTTGCCGTGGACCGCTCTCGCTGTTATTCGGACTGCCGGGCTTGTATATTGTCAAGGAGAATATTCTGCAGAATTCTCGAGGGGTAGTTTATATTAATGGACTCGGCAAGGGGGGTTGGAGAAACGGAGGGGAGCACTTGCAAGGAGGAGAAGGCCGATAAGTCTCATCTGTATGTATTCACAGCTCACAAGGGCGGGATGGATGATGTGGATAAAGAGCTGCAATTGAAGGTCATTGAGGAGATGAGCAAGAATAGTAGTAGAGGAGGGTAGTAGGACTGGTGATGGGAGTAGTAGGCACACATCATGCTGCAGCCTTGAGGAAAGATAGGAAAGTTGATGAACGTATAGAGGCTATCAAGGAAGCTGTTGGGTCAATGACTAAACAGGAAAAGGAACAGAGAGAGGCGGAGAAGGATGCGTAGGGAAGTTGGCACGTTTTTATACCATATTTTCGCCACTTCAAGTATCATAATGGCTGCGAGAAGGCATTGTGCCTGCGAGTCGGAACGATGGTGCTGTGTGATCGATATGGATATGTTCTATGCTGCTGTGGAGATAAGAGACGACCCTTCCCTTCATGGTACTACCATTCCTAGCTCAACTCTCGTCAGCCTTTCGCTCTGTCCAGACGTCCCTCTCGCGGTGGGCGGCGACGCAATGATATCAACCGCGAACTACGTCGCTCGGAAGTGAGTCAATCTCAATGGAGTCTTCTGAGGCGCTCTATTGCAGGTATGGAGTCCGCGCGGCGATGCCCGGCTTTATAGCACGTGAGCTGTGTCGGCGACAAGGCGTAGAATTGAGGTTGGAAGGGCCCTCTGGGGTTGTGGTGATGATGGAGGGGGGCCTCAGGTTCAAGCCTGTGGACATGCCCCGTTATCAAGCTGCTAGTAAGATCTTCAAGGATACAGTATCGCTCTATGGCCCTATGAAGATGCTCTCGTTAGATGAGGTAGTAGTTGTAGTAGTGGTAGGGGTCGGCTGAGGTCACTTAGGCGTACATTGATATTACTGCAAAAGTGGCAGAGGCAGCGATGGTGGATGAGAGTATAAGTGAGGTAGAAGCTGCATCTTTGCTGGTAGTCGCTACGGCGTTTTGTGAATACAAGAGTACTAGCAGGTCTCCCGTATGCGGGAGGAGGTCTGTGAGAAGAGTAGTGGCCTCACATGTAGTGCGGGTATAGCTAGAGGATGCTTCCGTCTGGCCAAGATGGCATCTGATGTTAATAAGCCCAATGGCCAGTTTATGGTACCAACGACGACCCAAGGGATGCTGGAGTGGCTACATAGCATGCCAATCCGGAAGGTGCTGCCCTAAGCGGTATAGGAGATTGGGAAAGTCTCCAGTTAGTTGCATGGTGTTGGACGAGTTAGCGAACGAGAGCTCAGCGCTGGACTAGGCATCCATAAGGTTGGTGATATCATCATCAAAGCGGCGGAGTTACTTCACGCGATGTCTAGTAGTGGAGGTCATTGGGTAGGAGATGCAGCTCGGATTCCGTCACGCGCCACGAAATTAGCTCATCGATGCAGCCATGGGGGTGACCGATATGGAGGATGTTACTGCAGCCGCCGAGTCGGGACCGAAGTCCATCAGCCAGGAACGTAGGGCCTGGTAGACTGGTGAGCCTTGGATGCCCTCCTCCCCCCCTCAGGGTCGCTATCAACGGCGAAGTCCGGCTCAGCCGCCTACCTCCATGAGGTCCTTGAGGAACTATGTTCACAGGTTATGGAGCTGTGTGCTGAAAAGGAGCAGTATGGTCGCTGTGTGACGGTGAAGCTGAAGACGTTCGAATGGGATGTGAAGCAGAAGTCCAATACCCTGAAGAGGGAGGTAGGAGGGTCTTGATGTGGGCTAGAGGGCACCCAGGGCTCTAGGTTCGAAGCGGGAGGCTCTTATATGAGGCAGCGAGTGAGCTGATGAGTACAGCCTTGGCGACTCTAAAGAAGCCTATTCGGTTGCTGGGAGTGAGGGTCTCCTCCTTCCAGACGGCTGTGCCCCAGGGGCAGAGTACTGCGTGAGAATGTCGGGCCCCCTATAGAGCTCCTCGCAGGTACTCTTGGGGACTTTCTAGCTGCACATAAGGCCAGTAGTAGCAGGGTGGCGGTGGATGAGTGCATTACTGTTGAGAGCCATGAACATGGGGGGATAGGCGAGGCGTGGAGCTGTAGTGTCTGCACCTTCCTCAACAAGGCAACGGATCGGAGATGCGAGATGTGCCATGAGAATCGAGTCGGCCCAGTAGCTGAGCTGGGGAGTAGTCGTGGTAGCAAAAGGCCTATGCTGGAAGGTGGGGGCAGTAGGGCTAGGAAGGTCCACAAGAAGGGTGCTATAGAGAGGTACGTGACAAGAAGGGCCCCCTCTAGTAGCAAGGGGTCTGGCATGGTTATAGACCTCACACAGGATTGAAGAAGAGGCGAGGGATGGTGTACTGAGTAGGACAAGGCCGAGGGGAGGCCAGGGGCGACCACTAATTCGGGTGAATGTAGCTGCATTTTTACTGAGCTTTTGCCACGGTTGGGGAGTTGTGTTGGTAGTAGGTGGGGCTATTGGGACTCAGTCGTCGTTTTCCGTCTATGTTCAGCCGTAGGCGCTCGGGCAATACCACAGCGAGGGAAGAGCCTTCGACAGCAGCTCCTCAGCATGAGGATGATGGAGGGAAGGATGCGGGTGGAGGGTCCTCTACTGTCGCGGACCCTCCTCCTCAAGTGGTGGGATATGCCCCAGCTTCCCGAGGAAAGGAGGCCCTTAGCAGGCACCGATGGTCGGGTGGGCCACAGCTGGAAGCGGCTCCCAAGGAGGAAAGAGGCGTACTGCTGCTGCTACTGCCGCCCTGGATGATGATGAGGATGACGACGATGGTATACCTATCATACCGGACCTAGAGGAGGAAGAGGAGGAGGACATGACCAGGTAGCCGTGGTAGTCAGATGTTGACGATGCCGTCTAGGCAAGTGGCGGCCCCTCCGACGGACTATGCCTTACGTCTGAAGACCCAACAGGAGCTTCGGGAGGCAGCTGCCTCATCATCATCAGCAACTGATAGTAAGAGTATAGATTTGCTCACTTGCTCTTCCGTGGAGTACCGCTCCTTCTCGGCATCGTGGGTCGAGTCATGAGCCTCCTCGTTTGAAAAGTCTCCCCTTAAAACACCACCGCTGTCCTGTGACACTTCTCGTCGTTCCAGAGAAATCATCGAGCTTGTACCCTTTGAACCCCCACCCAGAGCCGGGGATAGACCTCTCGGTTTTGTTTGAGATGCTCCTATCCCCAGAGGAAGTCGAGGTAAAGGCCGCTGTAGTTACGCTAGTAATCCCTTTCGTTTCAGGAGGATAATGAAGTATGGGACCACGAGCAACTCCTAAAGGAAATGGCTGCCGAGTTCGCTGCTATGGAGAGGAGTCCGCCCGCCACAGCTCCTGCTCGTCTTGCTTGCTTTATCCACCTCTACTCGATTCAGGTTCCTCCTCCCAGCCACGCGTGGATACGGCCAGAGAGGCTAAGGCTTCGTCGTAGTGACGGTATTGCTAGCATGCATATGTCGTTACTGGTGCTTTCCATTGAGCCATGGTCCCCTGTTGTGGTGTTTGGGGCGGCAGAGGTGTACGTCACTGTGTCCCTCAGTGGGTATGTCATCATCAGTCTCCACCAATAGCCCATCAGCTCTCGACAGTGAGTCCGTCAAGGAGGATGTGCCCCCCTTCGACGCCCCTGTGGAGTCCAATAGGCAGCGGAAACGGAATAAGAGGAGGGAGCAGAAGAAGGAGAAGTGGCTGTGAGTCGGAAAGCCTCCTTCTGATGGAGGAGCGACTGATTGAGAGTACCTTCAGACGGAAGAAGAGCAGTCATGGTGGCGCTAGCAGTAGCCCTACCGAAGGGTCTGCTGACCAAGCAGCTTGTGATGGAGGCCGCAGTACCACCCAGAATCCACTCCGTAGGGAGAGGAACGCTATGATGAGGGCCGACACCGAGGCCAAGGCGTTGATGAGCCCACTGGTGAGTCTTATTCGCCTCATCCCGCTGTATTCCTCGAGGGCCCTGCTGGTCGGAATTCTACAGGGTGATGTTGTTGTCCTTGTATCGATGAGCTGTTGTTTTGTTAGATACTCTTCGACTGTGAGTTCCGTGCAGAGATGCATACTAGGGAGAATACATCCCTGGCCCAACAGCTAATGTTCTGTTATGGCGCGAATAAGAAGTGTGAATGGCCTCTTAGACTCGTCACCGCGTGCCCTCAAGACGGCGACATGCATCGGGTAGGTCATATCCCTCTCCCTGCCCCGCTTGCTATGGTCGTGCCCTATCAGCACTTGAAGAAGAACAGCGGCCTTTCCCAGTGGACATGCTTCACGTTGGACCATCGTCCTCTACGTACCATATGTGCCGACCAGCAACAACAGCAGCAGCGACAAGTTGTGTACCTCACGGCCGACTCTGAGGATACCATGTGGTCCTTTGAGCCCGACACTGTCTACATTATAGGAGGACTGGTTGACAAGAATCGTCATAAGAACATCACCAAAGACAAGGCTGCTGAGTTGGGCCTCAGGACGGCCCGATTGCCTCTAGGGGAAGTGGTCGATATGGGAGACCATTCCAAGGTCAGCCGCCAGCGTCAGCAGCAGCATCGATAGTAGTTGTATAGCGTGGTAGGTGCTCACCGTGAACCACGTGTTGGAGATTATGGCACATCTATGGCAGCATCAACGGAGCAAGGTGAGGCCTGGAAGCTGCCAGATTCGTCCACTCGAGGAGCCTTCTCTCAGAAATCCGTCACGGAAGAGGATTGGCGAGAAGTATGTCTAGAGTGTCTACCAGGACGGAAGAAGAAGAAGGTGGGTGATGCCAATAGCGACGGGGCCGGCTCATCACCGCAGACTAAACGACAGAAAGTATCTACGACTGATGAGGATGATGGTGAGGGAGAGGCCTCTCCAGTGTAGTCCTCTCCTGCCCGACGTAGCAGTCTACGTTTCATAACAATGTTTCCTCAAGCTCGATATCGCTGTTGTTCTTGGGGGTCTCATTGGATGGGATGGAGTCGATATAGTGTTATCCCTACGAGCCTATGAGTGAGCGACCGACGAGTCAGGGAGGGTCTCCTATGAAAAGGCCTAGAGTGGACTCGGGGAGGGGTCAGGGGGTTAACAGGAGAGAAGGCGGTGGCGAGGCTGTGGTCCAAGAAGGGCATCACTTCCACAGCAAGAATAAGTTGGCTAGAGCTGTTGGTAGGCCTTCCTTCTTCAAAGGTATCCAATTTAGTGACAGGTTCTGTAAATGAGGAGTGTACAGTATTCATGTCGGGCCTCCCCTTTACAACTAAGGAGAGTGATATTGAGAATGCACTCAGTGAGGCAGCAGCAGCAGCAGCTGTGGAGGAGGTCGCCTCCCAGCAGGAGGTCGCTGATCAGGACAACTCCGGTAAACCTTCGAGGTGAGTCGACGCTCTCTACGAAGCCGACATTCCGTTCTCAGGGACAGCGTCCTCCCGCTGAAGCCTACAGCCATTCGGCTGGTCAGAGACCGCCTAGGCCATCTGAAGGGCTTCGCTTACGTCGACTTTGCATCCCATAGTCAAGCCCAGCGGGCAGCCACTTTGATGGACAAGAAAGTCCTGCATGGCAACAAAATATTTGCTCGGATATCCCGTCCGACCAAGCCACTGTGAGTCCCTGACGGTCTACATTAGCATTCAAGACACATGACAGGTTCGAGCCGACTACTCTGGTCATGGCACCGGAGGAGGCCGCAGACCAATCTGAGGTCTCACTGGACGCCTCCAGGATCCTGGCTGCCCTCCATAGTGTGGGGTGCCCTGGGGAGAGTGTCACCTATCCTCGGAACCCGGATGCACACCTCTGCTATGTCGGTTGTAGTTCCTCCTCTCATCGCAGTACATGGGCTGAATCGTAGGTGCACTTTGGCAAACCTGAGGAGGCTGACAAGTGCCTGGCCTTGGAGAGTCTACGCCTGGAGGGTGATGATGGTCCAGTGTTGAGGATAGAAAGGAGCATACCGAAGAAGGCCCCCAATATGGGGTCTAAGGCCCCACAGCCGAAGGACAAGAAGGCGTTATTGGAATATAAGACGTCAGGCAAACGAGAACGGACACTGTTCGTCCAGAACTTGTCCTTTGAAACGGAGTAAGCAATTTGGTGTTGGAGGAATGTATGCTCGCTCTCCTCACCTGAACTTAGAAGAGTTTTCTCACTACAGTGAGTTCGATTTTAATAGTCCGAAATGAGAAAATGTTGCAACTTCGCTAATTCGAGGATTAGGAATCTGAAACGGATGATGATTATACATATTATTATATTGCTTACTTATAGACCTCTAAATCTTAGAGGTTTCAGATTCCTAATCGCCGAATTAGCGAAGTTGCAACATTTTCTCATTTTGGACTATTAAAATCGAACACACTGTATATCATGAAAATTCACACGAATTCACGAAGTACACGGCAGCCAATGAGGAATTCCCAAAATTTCCTCACTCACCAACACATGTAGTTGAACATGTGCATGGAAGCGATGTCAATCCCTTCCCTTCAGCGGGCTCTGTCTATGGATGGTATCCTCCTCAGCGAGAATACCCTACAGAGCTTCGTCGGGTGGTCTATGGCCGAGCAAGGCCTGGTGACAGCATGCCTCATAGTTCGCAATAAGAGAGGTAAATCCAGAGGATTCGCCTATCTAGAGCTGGCCACCAAGGAGGCCGCTGAGAAGGTCGCCGAGGCCATCAATGGGTGTGAGCTCAACGGTCGTGCTATAAAAGTAGTACACCTCCTTGGTACTACATATAGCTCACTCGATCAGGTGTCCCCCAGCGACCGGCCCATAACTAGCAAAGCCCATCCTATGGACGGTGTGGAACCCCAGCCTGCTGCTACTATGAAGGAAGCACAGCCAGCTGTGGAGGAAGCGAGTCAGCAGCAGCAGCAGGAGCAGCAGCCTCCCAAGGCTATGATGAGCAACTCGGACTTCAGGGCTTGGCTGCTCGGTGGTTCCAGTTGATTGTGGTTAGTACGCACTATCCTTCACCATGGTCTTGCGTTATGGAGAACTCGGGATGAGCTACCTCTCCCATGGCAGTTTGGTTTTCATGTCGGCGGCGGCCTCGACGTTAGGGACTTCATTGAGCTGTATCGACACCCAGTCAGTCCGCAGTGGAGTCCTGTGGTCGGCAGCCTGGCGACCGGCCCATCCCGGAGCCCCTCTGTTGGCTGTGTGTGGACAAAGGCCCGATATACTGCTGTATACCATACAGTATCCTGAGGGAGAGGTCATTTGACTTACCTTTATTCTACCATCACATTCCCTGTTGCAGGACGCTGCTACTCCCAAGCTGACGCTGGTGAAGACCATCACCACCAACCACACTCGGACGCTACGGCGAGTCAATTGGCTCCAAGACGGGTGAGCCTACTACCATGCGTCCTCCGTCTGCCTTTCTGATGCTTTTGCTCCTCAGGAAGACGTTGGTGGTGGCATGCTTCGATGCTTCAGTGTCACTATGGGCTGTAGAAGGTTCCAATCCAGACGAGTTGTTGGTCCGTCACAAGGCTACCATACAGGTGAGCTCCTCCTCCTCCTTCTGCTGCGCTCCCATATCCCTCAACTCAGGGCCACGAGAATGAAGTGAAGAATGCATGCTTCAGTCCTAGTGGCAAGTAAGAGCGTGACACTACCCTCTAGAGGTTATTGTCTTCATAAGACCCTCGTCGCAGGTACCTAGCCACGTGTAGCCGCGACAAGACCATATGGGTGTGGGAGGAGTGTGATGTCCTGCCCGACCGTCAAGTTGACGACGACTATGGTGAGTGATCCCCTGGGATCATCTAGTGTCTGTGGCACTCTGTTGGTATGTTTAGAGGACACTCCCTTGGGAGGGGCTGAGATCGACTTCGAGTGTGTTGGCATACTACAGGCTCACAGCCAGGATGTTAAGTCTGTGGCTTGGCATCCCTGGGTTGACAATGTACTCTTTAGTGCTAGCTACGATGATACGATACGAGTAGGTCTACTGCGAGGCTGTTGTGACCATCCAAGTTGCTCAGGTGTGGTCTCGCCCGCCTGAGGGTGGCGGTGGTGATGATGATTGGCATTGCATTCAGACTTTGAAGGGGAATGAAAGTGAGTGTGGCCTGTTGCTGTCATCACTAATCCATGCCAGCATTCTTTCCTCTCTTTCAGCGACAGTGTGGAACATATCCCTAATCGATGCGGGTTCGCAACCGCTGATGCTATCAGTGGCTGGTGATGGTGCGATAAAGGCCTGGTTACAGCAACCCAATCAGGATGCCTCAATACAGGTGCCTTCAACCTACCATATACTATCGTTACTCCCCCTCTCTCTGTCTCAGCTGCCACAGGGTCCCTTGGGTCTGGCCAATTGGTACACAGCCCAAACCTTCACTGGGTATTCCAAGAGTGAAGCCGTGAGGGTGGAGGCGGATCTACCTACGTGGGGATGCGTTGGTAGGTTGGCCATTCGTAGCCATGGTCCAGATGGTGTTTGGAGTAGATACCGTCAGAGTGGGCAACGGGTTGCCAGTATACGATATGGATACTGTCTTGGACCCCTCGGATGGTACCATCATCGCTGCAACAGCTGGCGGGTGAGTTCTCCATGACGGCCGCTATCGAGATTGAAAGTCCTTGTCTCAGCGATAACTCGGTACGGATATTCGCCTACACCTTGTCGAGCACTGGTGGAAGGATGTCGGCTCGGCATGAGGAGCTGGCCAACTCTGCCAAGCTCATGGGACGGAGGCAAACACATACTAGTGATGTTAACAGCGTAAGCCTCTCAGCAATTAGGCCATTTCGGTATGGTTCAGCCGAGTGCTAACCAGTTTAACGGTTAAACTTAACCAGTTTAACTAGGCCCCAGTTAAACTTTAACTAGGGCCTAGTTAAACTTTAACCAGCAACCAGGGTCTCCCAGTTTCATGGACTACGCGATCGGCATCTTTTAGGTCGCCTTTCTCCCCGAGAGACAAGCGGATGGCGCCTGGTTGCTGGCTAGTGCTAGCGATGATGAGAGCGTTAAGTTATGGAAGGTCAGCCGTCCTCAAGATTCGTTCTGAGCCTTCAAGATACTGCAAAAGGCATATCAGCTATATCGCCGTACCATTTTCGTAACACTTTAACTCTGTGTAGAGTAGTGCTCAGTGTTTCCCTATCTACCATGTTGGGTTGCTATGTTCGGTAGTCCTTATCGGTCCACCTCGCTTAGGGAGGCTCTGTGCTCTGTTATTACGCCAGCGTTGACGAGCAGAGAGTGTAGTGGTAGAAGCGGGGTACTACTACCTTTACGGTAGGGGCTTGAACTTGCCAATAACTTCAACCCATCGTGAGTGCAGCAGAAGCCTCTTTGACTCGAACGGTGAAGCCCGAGCCATTGTTGGAAAGTCTCGCCAGAGGCTAGGGTCAACTCCAGAGGAAGTGATTCGATGGGCGAGCGAGGTCGGATCGCCGCCATGGTCCGAGTCCTAGCGTGAAATTGAGACTGAAACTAGAATTTATATTTCCCCAACGAGATGATATAGATTCTAAGTTGAAGTAGCCCTCTCTCAAGAGGGGCTCCGCTCAACGGGCAGCCGCCGAATTTTCCCCCTGAGTGGACTGGGTGACGGGACAGACCCGTGTGAGACGTGAGTCGTTGATACGACACCACCTAGTCGGGCACCTGTCCCGTGACCGAAGCTTCAGGGGGGAGCCCTGCAAGTCTTCGGTCCTCTCCACACCACCTAGTCGACTAACTCTATCAAAGTTCCCCTGGTTAAGTGTAAATAGTTAGAGGATCACTGGAGCCAGAGTTGAAGCATCGTCAATACTTCTGATTCTTTCGTTCATCGTCCCGTGTTGGAGTTAAGGGGAGGCGAGCCGTTGTAATCCAGTCACTGCTGCACAACGGGCTCACACTAATACTTCCTAGGTTGAAGGAGGTAGTCGACGATTAATCTCGTGCGGGGTCAGGAGTCAACGACTCTCCCCATCAAAGGGTATTCCTAAGGCTCAGGTTGAACGGTAATGTCATATAATCATTCGTGATGAAGTATTCTCATGTCTAACAAGAAGTAATGCCGATGAGGAGATGACTGCTACCCACTGAACTGAGCATCCCAGTTCTGTGCAATGGGCGTGATGTTGCCACGAGCATTTCCCCGGCCATGTGTATATACGAAAGTGCGAATAAGAGTGTTGGTCGAGTTGAACGAGCCGAGAAAACTCACCTTCGTCAACTCGTGGCTTAGTGACAATCTTTTGTTGTGACTGCTGAGGCCGACCAAACACGATTATGGACGGTGTGCCAAATGAAGATACGTATTACACTATGATTCATACTACGCCCGAGGGACTACTAGCTTGAACGAAAATCTAAGATCGATGGAAAGTGCTCTATTATAGAGGTTACTATTAATTATTGATCTACGCATGATAGAATAACATTGATGATGGTAACGGCTGTAATATAACAGGAGAGACACCATTAACCTAAAAAATAACATTTGGCCATCTCTAGCATTGATGAGCACACCGTCATGTTCCCCATGTACGTCGGCGTCGTCGATACTTTACCATAACCTGTCATGGTACGCCCGAATGGGGGATACACATGACGTACCTAGAGGAGACGGGATGCAGCAAGTCCAGCCATGGAGAGTCGATGACCTACCTGTCTTTGATAAGGAGGAGGCCAGTTAACATACATAGGTTGACTTCTGGCCGTAGGGAGGTACGACTGTATGGTGCGAGGCCTCAGGAAGGGCGACTTGAGAGGAGATAGAGGTTGAGGGGATCGCCATTGCAGCATCGGCGATGTTATACGTCTTGGTGAGAAGGCCATGGGTGACGAGGGAGAGGCGGCCACCTACATTGGAGCCTCCCTCAAACAAGGGGATTCCGATGACTCACATGTATGACCCTAACAGTGGGCAAGACCTTCACTGAGGTCGCCTGATGCTGTTGAGTTGGTGAGAAGTGTGATATTCTTTGTTTGGGTGGGCACCTCTCCGACTGAAAGAGGAAGGTAGTCGGTAGCATGAGAAGGTCCATAGTTCAACCTTAGATAGCTGATGCGACATTGCCCGGGATGTGCCGTGGTACTCGACTTTCCTCGGTGTTGGTGTCCAGGAGTTGGTTTGTTCATAGGGAGACCTCGGGCGATCTTCCTTGGTGTCGGGAGCATCGAACGATGTGGGCTGATTGGCACAAGCCGACCTGCATGATACGGCAGCTCTAACATGAAGGCTACGGCTAGAACGGCGCTGGGCAGCTCACGTCAGTTGCTGTTGAATTAACAAATTATGCCTACCTCGCAGAGCCGATCTTAGAGGAAGGGGACTCAGATGGTTGTTGAGACTTGTACATTCCTGGCGAATGTGGGCGACTGCTAGGCGCTGTGCTGACAGCACCGCTGTGCAATATAGGGTCCACTGCCAATCGCTCAGGGAGGACCTTCTAACAACAATAGTCGCCTATATCGCCATCCCAGCCCTCACCGCCACTGTGCGGCTCTCCAACCATACAGCCTCTTCAAAGGAGTCGTACAACTCGACGTTCGATGAAGTGGAGCTTGGTTCAGCTGAGGAAATGCGGGCAGAGGAAACTCCCAGATGTGATAATGGTGTACCAGCGGGTTCGAAGTCGTCTTCGTGATCATCATGGTCCCTTGCTTGTTGCTTCTGCTGCTGCTGGTGGTCCAAGTCGTCTAGTAGGAGCATCGGCCTCTGTTGGGACTCTACATAAGACGTTCCTGCCACGTCGAAGAAGCTCACACCGGAGTCTTCGGGGATGTAGGACATTACTCAAGATAACCAACTCAGAATGGCTGATTATGACAAACCAACACAGGAGATCATCGAGTGAAAACAAAATAGGTCTATAATGTATTGGTAAACGAGCCTCGTTGCTCTCACGATTAGACTTTCCCACGTTTACCGACGCCGCCAGATCGCTTACACTGATGGCGCCTACCTGCCGACTATCCCCGGGAAATTGACGGTAATAATCTCGATCACACCTCCCCAGAATAATCCACAGTGTCCCCCACAATAGCAGACAACACAACACTTTCACCGCTATTTATGGTAACAGAGTATCAACATTCTTGATGAGGGAGGAACTGTCCTCTACAGGAGAAACGAATATACTACATTCACCATCGTCAACAGCAGTATGTCTCTTGTTGGCAACATTTACTCCGTCTTCTCCCCCTCACAGTTCTCGCAAGCGTGATGATGACAACATCCCTGAAATACAACCACATCCTTCATATCACCAACGGCACTCTAAACTCGAGGAAAAATCGAGAGAAAAGAAAAAAAATCAGAACAGGGAGGAACCGATGACCGTCATAGGTAGGTAGAGAATGAGCATATATATAAAGCACACGAGGACTGTCGCCATAACAGCGATGTCGATATAAGTCGAGGCTGTCATAGGCGACGGTCTAGCAGGAGGCACACGAGATGCTTTGTCTAACGGCTCAACTGGACACCAGATGTTGGTACTGCTACGGTCTACTGTGAGATGCTTATTGTCGGTAGAAAAGGAGTGACTGCAGCAGTGAGCGGTTGAGCCATCCTAACCACGACGATCACGATAGACTGATGATGTCTTATGAAGAATTCTATTGGCCTGTTAACAATACCACACCATCCCCAACTCTCACCTCCTCATTCTTCAGTGGCTCCGGCAGCTTAGCCAAGGCTTCAGGCAAGCGTCCCATGAAAGGCTGGATAGTGCGGAGGTCATCCGAGTTCACCTCCGACTCCTTCTCGAACATATCCAGCATCTCCGCAATACCAAACGTGCCCAACGGTCTCACCTAAAGCGAACCGTACCGAATCCCAACACTATAAAGCTGCCTACCGAATCGCGCTTCCGCAGAGTGACAGTAAGGTCGTTCTGCTCCTTCTCGCCAACAACAGCAATGTAGTTATAAGCCGCAACTTGTGCCTCGCGAACCTTCTTATTCATAGTCCTCGTGGAAAGATCAGCATCAGCCTCATAGCCCAACCGCACCAGCTGCTTCCGGAGGTAACTACAGAGTACCACATGCTGTACCATACACTACTGAGGTCCCTTACTCAGCATAGTCGCTGTACTTGTCACTCACAGGTACGACCATAACCTGTCTAGGTGAAAGCCAGAATGGCCACTTGCCGCCATAATGTTCCGTCAAGATCGCAGTGCATCTCTCAATCGAACCAAGGATCGCACGATGAACCATAACAGGGCGCTCGAAACCTGACGGTGAGCAACTCGACGACTATGTTCTCTGGGCAACTGACCATGCTTGAGCTCTCCTAGAGTGATCTCATCTGCCTTAGCCTTGCTTCCGACATTCTCAACAGCGGCGGAGTTTTGGCCAGCCTTCTCCTGGTGGTCATCAGCAGGACTGTTAGCAGCCTCTGATACGGAATGAACATCACCACTTTCCTCGGTCTCAGCGGTGCGGTATTGCAGGTTAAACCTGGAGGAGGTAAAAAATACACAACCAGGGATAGAACCGGGGATCACCTGATTGGCAGGTTGAAATCGAGCTGAATGGTACCGCATTGGTGATAACGATTCAGAGCATCCCGAAGACGAATATCGATCTTAGGACCATAGAAGGCACCTAAGGGTCGTAATGGTCCATCCAAGCCGAGTGGAAGTAATACCATCGCCAGGATTCAGATCGTAATCGATGCCGCAAGCCTCGAGAGCGTTCTTCAAGCCGTTCTCAGCAGTGTCCCATATAGCTCGAGAGCCAATGGCCTTCTTGGGACGGGTCGAGAGGCAAACCTGCGTTAAATCGATCAAGTCGAGCGGAAGCCTGAGAGCAGTCAATTACCGAGAAGTCGAAACCAAAGGTGTTGTAGACGAATTTGAGGAACTCCAAGGCATGAGTGATCTCGTCCTGGACCTGCACAACGAGGAGGTGACAGTGGCCATCGCCAAGATGGAAGGTTGCGGACTAACCTGGTCGGGGCGGCAGAAGATATGAGCATCATCCTGCTGGAACCTCCGCACACGTGTGAGGCCGGATAAGGTACCCGAGAGCTCATTACGATGTAGAACACCAAAATCGGCCATACGGATGGGGAGCTCCTTATAGGATCGGACCTAATGCATACCGCGCTAAGGCCAAATTCTACTAGTAGAAGTACTAATACCTTCTGATCGAATATCATACAATGGCCGGGGCAGTTCATAGGCTTCAGGTACCACGTCTCCCCTTCGATATTCATACTATACCTGAGCAGTAGAGGAAAAAACATACCCAATATCTACGATCGCACCAGATGGACTCACATATTATCCTTGTAGTTACCACAGTGACCGGATTGTTGGAAAAGGGCCTCGCTAAAGATGTTAGGGGTAATCACCTGCCAAAGGGGGCGTCATAGTACTACTACTGGTAGACCGAGAGCTGACCTCGTCAAAGCCACGAAGTCTATACTCCCTTCTGATGAAGTCCACGAGCTTGTTGTAGATGACCGCACCATGACTGGTCCAGAAGCAGGAACCAGGGGACATGGTCGGATGGAAAAAGAACAGATCCTGGCACAAGCAGTCGATGCCGCTATCACCAGTCTAGACGGTCCTACCTGCTTCTTGCCAATAAGCCTATGGTCCCTCTTCATGGCCTCTTCGACATTCTTCTTATATTCCTTCAACATCTTCTCCGTAGGGAACGATATGGCATAAACCCGTTGCAAGGAGTCATTCTCAGCCTGAGGGGACCGTAAGGTCAGGTAGTACTACTGCTACTACCTTTCCTAGCCAGTACGCCTGAGAGTTCTTATTAACCCAGAAGGCCTTGGCAACTCCTGTGCGAGGGAGATGAGGACCACGGCAGAGATCCACAAGAGAGCCGATGCGATAGACCGAAGTCAGAGATCCATCGGGGACCTAACAACACAGTCGTCCATCACCTTCCTCCTCCTCGACAGATCCTACCTTGGTGGAGATGAGTTGGAGCTTGAAGGGATTATAAGCAAATAGCTCTAACGCTTCCTCCTTGGTGACCACCAGTCTTTGGAACTGACGACGACCAATGAGCGCAATTGACTTGGTTTTTCCCAAGTACCTTCTGATCCTCCTTAACGATGGATGCAATACGCTTCTCGATTTTCTCGTAGTCATTTGGGCCCAACTTGTGGTTGCCATAGAAACCATCATAGTAGAAACCGTTCTCGAGAGGGGGTCCTGAGGACGTAGTAGGAAGGTTGATACGATAAAGTAAGGCTTACCGATGGTTAGATAGCAACCATACTCCTGCTCTAGGGCCTCACCCAGAATATGGGCACTGGAGTGCCAGAAAGTGTCTTTACCCTCAGGAGAATCAAACTTGAGGAGCTCAAGCTTGCACGAGCCCTCTAGGGGTCTCGATAAATCCCATACGGTCTAACAGTAGGATCGACAATATAACGAGGAGAATGAGGAGTGATAGCAGCTTACCTCCTTCTGCCAAGCCTTGACCATGTTGGCCTGGACCCCATCCTCCTCTTCATCATCATCACCAGCATCGGAACCAACATCAGACTCGTCATCAGCAGCAACAACCTAACAGGGCTGATGAAAGGAAAGGAATGAATAGAGCTATTACTATTACTACTACTACTACTACTACTACTACTACTACTACCTGATCCATACTGTCAACAGGTTCTGTGTAGAGGACCTTGGCGGCCACAACAGAGTTGGCCAAGCCCTTGGATATACCGAGGGCAATATCTAGAGGGGTAGTCTCAAATTTATGGCCCTCTTTCTCTGTCCCATCAGGCAAGATGATGGTGATAGGGTCCTTAGGAAGGGCAGCAACGCGCTCCTCTTGGGCAGCATACAGCTTATCAAAAAGATCTGTGGTCTCCTTGAGGTAGGGTGCCTACACAATCCGACCTATTCTGAATCTTGAGAGGTCGAACCTCAAGATTCTCCACCTCACAGCTCTATTCCGCAACTCCCAGCTTACTGTGCCATTGGTATGAATCTTGAATTCGCCTTCGAACTTGCCGGTCTCACCAAGCTTAGCCCCCTTGCCTTGATAAGTCTTTGTCCTTGTGCCGTACATTCTAGTGTGACTGTTACTAATAGGAGTAGATGAGTAGTAGGTACTAGACAAAGTGCGTCGAAACGCTAGTGTAAGGGAGGAGGAACCGGAAAGGAAAAATGTCAACTTCAACCACCTATCACTCTACAACGTCTCATTAGCACGCCGGCCTCTGTCAGTAGCAACAGTCAGCATCAGCCTTCTGATGTATTTAGCGCTCGCCCCGGTGATCGATTTCCTGCGCACCTTCGAGCACAGTGTTGGACACGAAATATGGAGGAGACCACCATCCTGGAGGCCGTGAATCGGCTGAGAGCCGACCCCAAAGGGTTCGTAGGGTAGAATGAGCTCGGGTTATAGCTAGGTAGTATGGTGCTGCATAGGTCATTACGGGGAGACCCTCCTGAGGACGACCTTGTTGATGATGAAAACCCAATCGGTAAAGACGAACACATTGATAACGAGTAAAGACTGCACCCCGCCTATTGCAGAACAGCTCTTGCAGACTGGAGGAGGGTGATACCGACGGCAATGCCGATGACTCTTTCGAAGACGTTGCAGCAGCAGAGCCTTTGTTGGCATCTCCCAGTAGGCCAGTACCTGACGGTGTGTGTGGTTTGCATTAAGCCATCTCAGGCCTGTCGGTATTAGCCGCTGAGTGTTGTAGGGCACTAGCTCAGGACAAGATGGAGGATGTGGGACTCCAAGACTACCTAAGGTAAGGCATTAAGGAAGCCGCCTACTATACAACGTACTCTAGTCTACACAGGGATGTTTGTATGAGTGCTGGGTATCAGTTGGGTGCCGACTGTCATCCTTTGGGCATCCTCCTCCCAGCGACCCCAACTGGTACGTATCCTAAGGACACTACTTCGCCTCCCATCCGCCTTGGATTAGGGGACTTAATACAAGCTTGGCTGAGTAGTCTGCCTCCAGAAGATCGAATGCACATTGTCAGTGAGCAACTCCTCAACCCCCGCTTCAAAGAGCTAGGAGCGGCTGTCATCTCTTCTACCGATAATATATTAGCTGTAGGCCCCTTTACGTTGCAGCTGAAGGCATTGTCAATAATAGGTTATCATCCTGGCGAACGGGTCGCTCCCTGTGGAGGGTACGGAAGAAGAAGAGACGACAACAACCCCGGCTGAGTTGGCTTCGGCACCAGCAATAGGATGGTCAGAGTAAGGCTGTCGTGAGCAGTACGATAGAGTACAGTGGAGCCTCAGTGTTGTGGAAGCATCTAAGCCCGCCTCACTCCGTGTGCCGAAGCGGATGCATGAATCTGTAAAGAAGCTCTCTAGGCCCAAGAGTACGGCCCCACCCTCTACTTTTCATCCCTGCTGGATTTCCTCGGGGACCGTAGTTACCGCAGATGTAGAGGCGGTATCATCATCGACTGAGGCAGCCAAGCTCGGGATAGCGACGCCGGGTTTGGGTCCTCAAGGCTACATCCTCAATCGGGTTGTGAGTGGCCAGGTTATCCTTCCATTCAATTTCCCATCGTTTGAGGTACGAGCCTTCGTTTCACAGTGTGACACTAACGACGACGGCCGTGTCACCGCTAGTGACATCATCTGTATGGCTAAAACTAACGGCTCTCATCGGCCCAAGGCCCTAGCCTTGGTCATCGCTAACATGGAGGATATGATTGCTGATATAGTGGTAGGTGAAGAGGCGATGTGCCTTCGGTTCAGTGTAGACTATTTAGAGTAAGCGGCGGAACCACCCTGTGAGGACGACTGCAGCAGAAGCCCTCTCGAGCTCCGTCACTTGGTCTGAAGTGGCTACTGCTATGAGGGAACGGAAGGAATGGACTCGTCTTGACGAGGATAAGGAGCATGCTGCGAAGAAGATAGACAATCTCAACAAGCATTGGGTCTATCAAAGGGACAAGTAAGAGTAAGCCACAGTCCTCTCACCCTGCATAGGGTACGCCCAAAGATACGCTGGTCTATGGGTATTGACGCTGTCCCTGTGCGGCTTCAAGGCTTTCGTGCCCATCGGATGTCCCACGGGCGCTCGGCAGGAAGGTAGGGTTGAAAGCCTGTGCTCGTGTGATACCAAGGAGTGGTCAATAGGATCGCGAAAATGTCAGTCGCATAGATGCTCAGATGGGGGAGTTGTTGTCAAGGAGGATGCGCCTAGCCTTTCCCCTCAGTACTCTAACCCTGGTAGGGCTGTGCGGCTGACCTTGGGGGCAATTCCGTCTTCAGAGACCAGTGTGAGGGAGAATTTTTGCCAGCATGAGGGCGTTGATGTCGGGTCTCGAGGAGAGCTGGGAGGGAGCCGTTGTGGAGATAGTGTCAGTGATAATGTAAGGCTCTGTAGCTTCCACTGAGGGCTGGTTACTATCTCACCAGATGACATCTCAAGACCGGGTACGGTACACTTTCGAGGCGGTCCGGGAATTCAATGATCGTTATGGCATGATACAGAGGAGGTCGAACAACGCAAGGTTCCATGACGAAGGCAGCAGGCCGATGCTAGTAGCTGGCCGCCCTCCGCTTGGGGGCACCACAGGGCGGACCCAACTCACACACTTCCACAATAGTTGTAGTAGTACCCAGCTCCGAGGTGGACGACAGTGTGAAGTGATCAGGTTCGGTCCCTCCCAGACGGGAGTCCACAGATCAACACCCTCCCTGTTCTAGGGCTTACTATGGTGTTGCTGCTTTCAAGGTAGTTGGTCAGTACCCCTCAGCTGGAGCGTTGTGAGTTGACTTCTCGCAGCTGGACTCTGGCCCTTATGATGATAAGAAGGCCTGGAGATCAGTGGGTGAGGACCTCAGACCTGATGATCGCCTATCAACGATGACATGTACAGACCGAAGGGCCACTTGGGATACTGTCACGCTGCCCAGGAGGGCCCAACGGCAATATGAGGTAGAGCGAGGTTGGGCTTTCATCTATGTCTTTAGAGCCTGTGATGGCCACTGTAGCGTAGTAGGCCTGCGACGAACTCGAGGTGTTGTTTGAAGGTGGAGGAGTGTTCTCAGGATCGTTGCCGCGACCATATCTGCGGCCGGGCCGCGTTCCTGGGCCCATACGGAGCTTCCTCGTCCGACTCTTGCTCTCGAGTGGACTCTCCTGCCCGTCGTGGTCCTCACGGCCCTCGACTCTACAATAGCCAGGTGAGGATCTCAGGGATAGGGAATGGTGATGGAGAGGTCTGTAGGTCCGTCCCCAGCCTCTGGCACCGGCCGTCTCTCAGATAGATACCCTGCCAGCAGAGGCTACCATGAGGTACAGTGAGTGGCTCTCCTGGAGCGATAGTAGGGTGACTGTTCAGGCAACAGGAACGGCAGTATGATAGGGAGTCGAGGCATGCAGGGCTAGGACCAGGCTTCAAGCCATATATGCCCAAGGCCATGGGACCTCCTACTAAGTACCATAACATGGCAACACGAGAGTAAGGATGGAGGAGGGTTGCTGCTGTTGTCAGCGAGGACAACCTTCTTCTCAGTCTTGGGGTTGATACTATCATACATGATAATCCGCCTGTAGAGGCTGATCCAGCTAGTGAGTCGGAGCCTTTCAGGACCTTTGCTAGGCCCTTGGATGCCAGCGGTAAGCTGCTTAGTAGTAGTTCGTATCATACCACTCCATTCTCAACAGATATGGACCGTCGCATCCCCGTGGGCCCTCTGCCTTGTTGTCAGACGCTTCAACGTCGTGTTGTTCGTAGTAGTAGCAGTACCATGCTGTCGTGTGTGAAGTAAAAGTTGTTCGCTCCCTATCGTGTTGTGGTTGATGTCTCCAATCCTGCCATCGGGCCAGTGTCTTTATAATGTCTATCATAGTGGAGTTCACTCTACCAGTACTTCAACTCGATACGGAGTTCTGGCAGACCCTCGCTGATTACAAGCTCAACGTCCAACGGCTCGGGACCTCAGCGATCGAGACGGTCGGGGAGATGCCCCCGCATGATCCGTCTAGGATCTTGTGTATGTCGAATGCAGGGGTTGTTTAGTTGATCGAACCCACCAGGTTCTACTGTGAAGGAGGTCAGTGAGCCCCTCCCTAGCCGCGGCTGTTGCTTGGGACGAGTATACAACCACAATACCATACAGGACTTCGCTAAGGCTGATCGTCAGGCCATCGTTGGTGAGTGGTCGTCGCCTAATTGTACCGTCCCCGTCCATTTCTAAGAACAGGCTCTTCCCTGGACCAGATCCTTTCAACAGCTCTCTCCCCATCATCCAGCCCAGGCCCCGTAGGACCACAGGGTAGTCCAGCCCGTTTGTTGATCACGCCTCAGTTACTCTATTTCATCGTCATTTGTTATGCTGATCTCAAGAACTTCAAATTCACCTACAACTGTGCTGTCCCTCGCCTCGCCTTCAAGACTCCCCTCATTGTCACCTCAGCAGCACCAATGATAGCAGAAGCTATCGACGATGATGCCCTGCTCGCCCGACTCACTGCCGAGATGGTCCTGCTCCGCTATGAGGACAACACTCTGTCCAATCTCAGTAGAGCCTATCATAGCATCGTATAAGACGCCTCATTGTGGTCGTCAGGGGATATGCCAGCAGGCCGCCTGTTGGAGGTCCTCGTCCTAGTGGCCAATCTGCCAGAACCTAACGCTGCCACTGTGGTGCTCCCGTGGTATATGTCCACCCTTCTAGTCGCTATCATGACCCGCTTCAAAAGCACTGTTGATGACTCCATCACTTTGAGGCTAGTCCATCAGCGTGGATCGTCCGTAAGGATAACAGTGGTAGTTCCTGGTGATGTAAGATACAACTACCACTGTAGTAGCTGCGGCTATGCTCCTATTGTTTCAGCTCAATGCCTGTGTGGAGCGCGTACCAGGATGGATAGCATTTCCTGGGCCTCAAGGCAAGCCTACTGTGACCACCAGTGAGTCCTCATCGTCCTTAGCTTGGGCTCATCCCCTGCCATCAGCTCTTGATCTGAGGAGAGTGATGGACCCAGCAGCATTGGCGGTCTCTGCTACTGACCTCAACGTCAGACTCATGCAGTGGAGGGTGTTGCCTACCCTAGACCCAGACCGGATCATGAACCTGAGGTTAGCATCCTCCTTGATCTCCTATACTGTGTTCTTCTTAGATGCCTCCTTATAGGAGCTGGAACTCTAGGTTGTGCTGTGAGCCGGACCCTTCTAGCGTGGGGTGTGAAGAACATAACCTTCGTGGACAGTGGCCATGTGGGTGATAGTGCTCCTATCAGACTGTCATTCGCTCGGGTTTAGGTGTCCTTCAGTAACCCAGCTCGGCAGAATCTCTTTACATACGAGGATGCTGTAGGGAAGCGTCCTAAAGCAGAGGCAGCAGCAGCCAGACTCGGCGAGATCGTTCCCGGTCTCAACGTTAGTGGAGTTCAGCTGGAGGTATCTACCATGCTGAGTGTTCGTATGGACACACAACCATGTGAGGTTCCGATGCCTGGCAAAAGCACTACTGGAGGGATTGATGACATATCGAGGGCGGTTGAGAAGCTGGACTCCCTCATAGCTGGCCATGATGTTGTGTTCCTGCTCACGGACAGCAGAGAGAGTCGGTAACATGACGGCTGCTGCTGGTGGGACTTGTGGATACAATCATCTTCAGCTGGTTGCCTACTGTGATGGTTGCCTCCGCTGGAGCCAAGACAAAGGGAGGCCCGATGGGAGTATCGGTCGCGCTGGGCTTTGACTCCTACTTGGTGAAGGTACAGTCTTATGGAGGTGGGTACGTCTCTCTGGAGAACATGATAATGTCTTTTTGGTAGATCGTAGCTCTGCCTGCTACTTCTGCAACGACGTCTCGGCCCCGAGCGACTCTACGTCCTTCAGGACCCTGGACCAGATGTGTACTGTCACACGGCCTGGTCTTGGTAGTAGTTGTAATAGCCGCTATTCTATGCACCTGAGCCCTCCTCAGCTCCTATAGCCTCTGCAACGGCGGTGGAACTTGTTGCTACTCTAACTCAACATGGCGGCTTCGACCAGATCCGAACGGTCAATGACGATGGGGGCAATGCGCTTGGGGCTACTCCCGATCAGATACGGTGGGGATGAGCAACATAGGGCTGTCGGATGCATCTCGTCTCAGGGGATTCCTCGCCAACTGGCAGCAGGTTCCTGCGGTCACCCAAGCTTTCGATCGATGCGTGGCCTGTTCGAATGCCATTATTGCCGAGTACTCTACCAAGGGAGCGTCCTTCGTTTTGGATGCTACTGTGGATGCTTCGGTGGGCTAAGCTCCACCTTGACTCAATGCTGCGTGGTGATTACGAGTGTACAGATCCTTGGCGAGAAGTCCGGCCTGACGGAGATGCTCGCAGCGGCAGAACGGGCTGAGGACGACCTCCTTGCGTTCGGCATCGACGACGAAGACTTTTGAATGTTGCTTTCACATGACCCATCCTTGCTACAGCTATTGAGTTACTCAATTGGAGCGTATCATAGTCAGATATGGAATCGCCCCGAGGGCTAAAGAAACATCGTAGTTGAACTTCAACTACGATGTCTCTTCAACTGTTGAAGAATCATTCGTCAAAAATGCGTAAAGTTCGTCCGCATATCTTAGGCCGCCCGAGTTCGGCGAGTCAGTAAAGAGCTACTATCGCACGTATACATGGTCAAACTGGATTGAAAGCTAGGAAAATAAAGCTACCAGACAGCTGGCCCAGCTGAGCTGGGGTGCTGACAATGGCGAACGCACTGTCCTTCTCCACAAACTTTTCAGTCATGATAGTTTTCACAACTAGACTGCGAGCAGTAACCGCCTTGATGTAACCGAGTGATATAATAATCAATGTCAGTCGTGGCTGCAAGTCGATCAATGTCTTCCAGAGCATTTTCTGGTAGGCAATTCTTCGTTACATTCTTCGCTTTTCCTGTCAATGGTGTCGCGGGCAGTGCACTTGCGTGACTCAGTGTTATTCACGGCTTGTTTTCGATGATTCGCTTGCTTCTTTCGGCTACTTCCATCCTAGTCGTACGTCGTCTATTCCGGGCTCCCCATCTATCCTGACTGACGCTTCTGATACTTCTAAGGGGCTCTTCTGATTTGCGGTGTTCATGATTTGCTCACACTGGGTAAACGTATCCTAACTCTTACGGGATCGATGCGCTAAAAGTTCACGTGAACGATGCTGCTCTACCACATCGATCACCTTCCTGCAACGGTTACATACTACATCCTGATGAAGAAGATTAACATACTTCCTCCAGCGAGCGTGTCTCCTGCCGCGTGGCATGAATTACAACAAACCCTTCGGGATGCGTGTCCAGCCGAAAGGATCAGTCTGCGACGCTGAGCCTCCCGTGAAATCAGCGAAAAGGAACCACTACCCTGATCGTACCACAAATCTACGTCGCCACAGCTTAGCAACGACGGCGAATAGCTAGCAGAGTGGGCACTCGCTGCTGAAAATACCGGAAAGACGTATGGGAAATCAAGTCAGTTGAGTTTCTCAACTTGAGAAATCGTGTGATTGTAAAAAATTTGTCAATCACGACCGGCGTTATCCTCGTCTAGATGCACGCATCCTATGCACAAACCCTATGCGTGAAGGTGAGTCGGGCTGTTATGTGCCCCCGTGCGATTCACGCATAGAGTGCGTGAGACTGACCATTACGTCTCCAACGATTGGAGACGTAATGGTCAGTCTTGTGACAAGACTCTTGTCCGAGAGATTAAGTGTTTCAGATTCGGCCTGTAGAGGTTGCAGGAATCTGTGTGATTTTGAGTGTGAGTCGGTTCGAGATGTGAAATGGCTAAATAGTCGGTTATGTGGAGCTGTTTGGGAGGAAAACCTCAGTCGTTGGTAGTGTAACTAGTGTCACTTTGTATTCTACCTTGAGGTTTGGGCCAAGTTCGCTACTGCAAAGTAGTTAACCATACCATTGTAACCCAGCACCAACCAAGGGTTTGTAATCGATCAACATGGCGAGCGACATATACATGCTCTGCTACAATCTCGCTCACTTGCGAACGACATGGTATCGTCAAACTCCCGAGAGGGGGTAGCTTAGTTGCTACCTGTATGTAACCATCTCCAAAGTAGTACACCTCTCTACAGGGTCTTCGCTTTCTATGGAATACAGCATGCTATTCAGCATCGGCTATTGCGTCGTCGCCCTGATGATTAGTACCGTTGCATCATCAAGTCCGGAGAATATCACCTGCCAGACTATTTGCGACACCCTCGCTGACTGCTCGTATTCCACTTGTAACACAACTGCTGTCCCTTACTACTGTACTGGTATCTACGTTGGTAGTAATGGTACGGTCGCTTACTCGGATCAAGAACCCGAGTTCTACTCTCAGCATCTACTCTGCCCTTTTGCTCAAACTCTTCTTTCCCACACTCCTCCAGGCATCGCAGATGAGCCCCATCCAGGGTGCCCTGATAAACTCGTAGACGTGGACGTGTTCTGGTGGAGTGAATGGCCCACTCTTCCTAGCAATAGCTATGATGTATATGCTGGTTATTATCAACGTATGTTTCGTCTATTATCGACCAACTGCGTTTACATGCGGGTTAAGAAGCTCATCCTCCGCGTGTTGGATCCACAGTACCCTCCAGCTGAAGGGGTTGACAAAGTGTGGTATCCCAACAATGATGTGACTCAGAGTGCTATGTTTACTGAGCTCTTGATTAAATTGAAAGACACGTCGGTTGAAGAAGTGGAGTTTTTACCTTACGTTTTCGATGAGCATTCACGATCTTCATGGAGGAAATGGTCCGCCAATGGACGACAAGTTATGGCTGGTGTCTATGCTTTTGCCGCAGAGTACAACAAGCATCTTCCTACTGGGGTTAAGATCACTGGAGTTACAGTAGACTACGAGGAACTCAATAGGGATCCTACTGAGTATGCTATGCTCAGCGATCCCACAGGTGAGCGCTTATTTAAAGGTGGTCACACTGATCTTAAATTTGGAATCGCTTTAACTCGAGGGAAAACCGAGGAGATTGTGTCCTTCTCATGGACCGATAACTTTTACTTGGAGATGTACGACTTGGGATACAACTTCTCCCCCTTCCTCCGATATAAAAATCAACCAGTGCAGTTGATACATTTCTTAGCCGAAGATGTGCTAGGACCTAATCTCATTGAGGCCTACAACAAGCATCATGACAAGGTCAATCTTATGTGGTCAATTCAATCTAAGGGCATACCGTGTATGTATCCACTACCGGGACCGAACCTGAGATGTGGAATCAATACGGATTTTGGTCATTGGAACACCTCCGCTTTCAATACGTTTCTAGGAACAGTATTGCCAATTCTAGGAACGATGAATGTCCGTCAAGGCGTTTATCAAATGGATTTCTATCCACTTGACTGGGCTCCGTCTGAACTCAAGGGATGTTATAGTGACGCGTGTCAATGATGATATCAGAAGGAATAGTCTTGGTTCTTTTCGAACGGCTCGTCCGGGTCTTGTCCGCTCGTCGTGAGAAGATATAACAGTGAATTCCTCCACTAAAGTGGCCGCGGATTAGGGTTGGCCCTAGCGATCGTAGCAACTTGCTCGTTCGCCTATTTTCCAGATTTTCTAATGTCAAGTCAATACCATCATTTGTCGAGTTGGTAATGGGACCCTTTATACAATGTAATGTTCTCGGGAATAGGAGCAATGTCCAGGGGTGAGGAAGCACTTTGCGAAGGTCGTTCACATCTGCCCAAAATCGATGCTTTTAGCATCATTTTACATTAACACCAATGCTTTCTACCCTGTCTCGGCATCTTGCTGCTGCTGCTGCTTCCACAGCGGCGTCCGCTCAAGCCGTAATGACGGTGACGCCAGCTGCCGCATCAAGAATTAAAGATCTTATGAAGTAGTGAATGTACATCGTTATCGTTTAGAACTAGCTATTCGTTCGGTTTATTTCGCCTACAGTAGGCACACAGTTGAAACACTGAGCAACTCAGTGCTTCTATCTGATCAGTGATCACACCTATCAGTGATCGACTAAATCTGTTGATATCGCCCGTTCTCATTCAGTAAGAAGCACGACGAGTCGATCATAGGGCTCAGAGTAGGTCTAGCGAAGAAGGGATGCGAAAACATGAGCTACACCATGAACTATGCAAAAGTAAAGCCGCCTCCTTTCTTGGCCTCTTTTGTCATTGCTTCTTCAGGAGATCGGAAAATTAGATGAGGTTGTGGAGAGTGAAGGAGTAAAGGTTGTTGTGGATTCCAATGCTTTGATGTACCTCATAGGTAGTAGGGTCAGCCATCACTCATGCACCTCTCCGCAAGTTCTTAGCATATCCGGTTTTTCGACTCGTGCGCCGTCACCTCAACGAGTACCATGTCGCAGTTCAGGGAAGTATGCTCTTGTGCTCCACATGATATAACCTCGAAGCTTTAGGGTCTAGCTCTTCGTGGTTGGGGAGAAGTCGAAAAGTGGTTAAAATTTTTTCTAAAGATTGTTATTTCATGTGAGGCATGAGAGCATACCTCCCTTGTGTCCATGTGCTTCGCTCATTTGTTGTTCGCAAGATTAGTGATCGAGAGTTCGAGATCGCTGTGAACTCCCCCTGTAGGTACGGAGATGGATTATGTTGACAACGACCTAGCTTCAGAATTTGTGTTCAATAATCCCAACCAGAAGTCCTCCTGCGGCTGCGGCAAGAGTTTCAGTGTATAATATCGACGCATTATATCATACATTGGCAATGTCACATTGCTTTGTTCATACTTGAAAGCTCTGTAGTGATAAAACCAACATACCACATTTTACAATGTCACTGTTACTATTGATTGGGCGCAGTGCTGTGTTTTAGTGAAGGGGGGATCTACGTCTTCGTTCACTGAACAGGGTGGAGTATCCTGCCCTTTACGGCGAAGGGTCGGACCGATTCAGAGGAACCTGCTCCCAAGCCCACCGTCCCGGGCATCTATGGAATTCAATGAATAGCAAGCCGTAGTAGCTCTCACTAGATATGGTGGATCGCAGACTCACTCTGTTCTTTTAATATGCTCTGGCAAGCATGGTCTGGTCACAATGGCCTTATAAGTCGGGAACATGGTACCCTTCAGAGGGCCCAGGGTGATGCTACCCCACGAAGGGCTTGCGTTTCTTTCGCCGTCCTGGGAAAGGGCCCGCCATAGTGCTCTACAAACTAGAAGGTTCTCCTTCGTGCCGCAATGTCTACACGGTTACGCGTTGAATCAGGATCCATTAAGAACGCTTCTTCGAAGTTGATGTCATGAACAGTTCTCCATCCGATCCTGCCTTCCACTGGAGTTCTCCCTGCAAGAATACTATCGCACAACAAGGAATTAGTCATACAAAGACGACATCACTGTCATCGTCTAACACTCAGTACCCGTCCGAAAAGAGCTGTATCCAGTTGTATCTAGCGAGACGTATAAACATCCTCTACAACGCTGATGACGACCACAGTACCGCTTCTTGGTCGGCACGATATCAAAAATATCAGCATCACCAGCACACTTACTCGCATACTGGCGGTCTCCAGGGGCGAAAACGAAAGTTGCCGAAAGGGCCTCCCAAACGCTACTGTTTCCACGAGATTTCACTATCGTCATGCTTCTTAGTATCCCCGCCGTCAACCCCAAACCTCCGTCTAATCTCATCGTCCAACACTCTCCACGACCATTTACTGCCATACAGCCCACCGAAGAGCCCTAGAGGAACCCAACAAGATGTAGAGGGAATTTAAATGCAGGTCCTCTCGGTTGACCAGGCTTCCCAATAAATGACAGTCGACCGTAAGCCGTTTTTCATTCCCCTGCCTCCCTGAAGGGAGACTTTGACCAGCTCAGAGTAGCTCAGAGGACATGTTCAGCATGTCATGCTGAGCTAGGGTTCACCAAAAAGACCTATACACCCAATCGAGTGATCTCCTTTAGTTCTAGTGGGAGGACGGGATATACTGTAATCCATTCAAATTGAAGCCCATTGATATAACCCAACTCCACGTAACCGCCAACTATGAGAACGCAACTACATGATGGAGATCTCAAAACCATTCTAATATTGCACTACATGAAAAATATCACCAGGCCTCTTGCTGTGGTGCGACTCGTCTCCAAGCCGCTGTGCGAAAGAAGGTAGTACTGTCATCGTCGACTAGAGGTCACCACGGGGCTTCACCCAGTTGATCTTGTGCTCCGGAGCCTCCAGGTAGAAGAGTTTCATATCAATACGGTACCTGTATAGAATCGAAAAAATGAATGATATGATATTTTCTCAAACACTCTGCTGGTAGATTGACATATGTAAAGTATTTCTATGTTCAAAACCAAATACCCTGGAGTCTCACTGTCTGTGTTGGACAACAGCCAGGTGGCCGAAATAGCAGCCGAGGATGATTCCGATGAGCCAATCGCGGAAGTAATGACGAGAATAATAGTCGCCCTGCACTCTCTGTCGGAATGAATACCACTTGCCACACCATGTAACCTGACCACTCCGAATAAGGATAAGTCAAAAATTGGGCGTACGTAGTCTTCCTGTTTGATCTCATCGACTGTACGATAGGGCAGTGGGATACGATGGCGGTAGATCTTGAGTGGTTTGGCAAATTTGTAGAACATTTCCTCGTAGTCGTCATACGTCATATCGCCCATGATCAACTGATACAACACGGCAACATCGTATAGAGTGCAGATCGGTAGAAGTACTAGAGGGATCACCTTGTCGGTGTAGGGCTTCAACTCAGGAGTGTCGTCACCCAACTTTTTCAAAAAGGGGAAGTATTGAGGCGGCACGTAGTAAGTGTGACGGATTTGAGTCGCTGAAAACGGCGATACAAAAAGGGCAGTAGTCAGTCGAGGAGACTCACAGACTTCAGGTGGGATGTGAGCTGGAACACCGAACTCGTCTCGAGGGATCTCTTCAAACTCGAAATCAGCCTCGCAATCATAGTTAGGATCATCGAAGTACGTAACGTAATGGTAAGGATAACCTATGTCGATTCGGGTCAATTAGGGATAAGCGAGGAAGGTGACTACCTCCATTATACATGGTGCGCCTCTGTAAAACCGAGCCGAGACCAATAGCGGAGTTCGTCCACTGATGACGGATCAGCCCACGTTGCACATGGCTGAGCACACGAGTGGCCATAGAGAGGTATTTAGATGGATCCACGATCTGCAACGCAACTTCTAAAAACCGACGTGTAACGCGTTGACGATGCTGTAGCGCTCGCCATTATGATCGATTATTTTCGCTAACATTGTTAGATTTTGAGCTAGGACCGTAGCATGTTCTTGCTGGAGTATTAGGCTTGGCCATGGGATTCTAAATACGGTGAGTAATACTAATGGTCGATCACGTCAAATGGATGGTCACGATATAAGCCTCTTGTAAATTACTAAGCGTTTTAGTCAATCTTTTCCACCTTAGAGACGCTCGCTCCCAATACTATCTCGCTAACTTGATTGCACTTTGTACATTATCACTCCTTTGGATTTTGAGGTCGAAACCCATGAGCTGAGCGTGTTAGTTTTCTCTGATCGGTTCGTCACCGAGAATTTCACGTACCGACAGAAGCCGCAGCGTTTGGTTATCATCCGTTGGGCGTCCCTGTAGAGCTTTTGGTGCTGATTGTTCTCACCTTATCAATTGATGTGCGATGAGGAAGAAATTTCGACATGTTTTGAGCCATTGCGATCCCGTCTTGGCTCGGCCCTGTTTAGGTAGCATACGAGTTGATGCTGATTGGGTGACTTTTCTGACGAGCACTCGTTCTATTGTTTTCTCTCCTCGAGTTACTCACGTTACTCTTCTTTACATGCGGACCATTCAACGAATCGCGAGTCTCCTTGTCTTAGGAGCATCCGCAGCTGCCGATTCTTGTTCGGCGGCATGTTCCTCCACTTCAGGATGTTCCTCCTCCTATTGTACGACTTGGAGCAGTCCGCCTGTTTGTCACAGTCTAGTCAAGATGGCTGACGGCTCTATTTGTTCCACTGACGCTCCTTCTTGCACTGGTGTTCCTCTCCTTTGTTCCGAGTCTTCGATTCCCTCTACCACAACTCGTGAGACTCTTGCGACCACAGAAGTTCCTTCTCCAACTGCTTCTCTTCGTGGTAGCACTACTGGCAGTCCCTTCACGACCAAGCCTACTGTAACTAACAAACCCTCGTCTAGTGTGGACTGCACTGCTGTTTGTGAATCCTTGACGGGTTGCTCCACCTCCTACTGTGCTGACTGGGCGTACCCTGCTGTTTGTCACGGTCTCGGTACTACTGCTGGAGGATCGCCTTGTGTGTTGGGTGACCCTTCCTGTACAGAGACACCTTTGTTTTGTGGTGGTTCTGACACTTCTACTCGAGCTTCCGTACCCACTGATGTGATGACTACAACTACTCGAGTCGTCCCTACTACGTCCCTTCCAACTACTGTTACTACTGGGACCAGCACCACACAACAACCTACAGCGTCTATCGCATCTAACCCTGGTAGCAGTCCACAGTCGGGTTGTCCTGACGTACTGCCCGAATCTGACGTATTCTGGTGGATCGAGTGGCCCTCTATGGATTCCACAATTGATGACTGGACTACGTACTACCGCCGCATATTCGACCTTCTTACCAATAACTGTGCTTACATGAGAGTGACTAAGCTTATGCTCCGCGTGTTGGATCCTGAATTCCCCTCGGGTTCCGATGCTTCTCATCGCGTGTGGTATCCCAACGGCGATGTTACTCAAAGTGTCATGTACACAGAGTTGCTTTCTAAGCTCGATCAAACGTCTGTGCGTGAGCTGGAGATGATGCCCTATGTGTTCGATGAGCCTTCCCGACAGTCTTGGTTGAAATGGGCTCCTGAAAACGGTGGTCCGATGTCTGGCGCCTACGCGTTCGCCGCCGAGTACAACGAACATCTTACCAGCGTCAAATTCACCGGCTTAACGACAGATTACGAGGAGCTCGAACAATCCACAAGTGATTATGCGCTTCTCACCGATCCTCAAGGCGAATCTGCTTTCAAGGGTGGTCATCTCGAGCTCGACTTCGGCATTGGTCTTGGCTACTACCAATGGTCTAGGTTCCCCCTTTACACATGGACGCAACATTTCTATATGGAAGTTTACGACATCGTCACTCCATTTGGAGGAGTCGATAATACTGATCAGTCCCGGTTCTTGCTCTACAAGGATGATCCGGAGGCTATGGTGAATTACATCGTTAACGAAGTGTTGGACGCTAACACCAAAGCGGCCTTTTCGGAATACAGCGAGCGAGCCCATCTTATGTGGTCTATACAGTCTATGGGTCTTCCTTGTCAGTACCCTCTGAATAACGGTAACTGCGGAGATAACCACGAGTTTGGTGAGTGGTCATCCCAAGCTTTCAATCAGTTCTTGCAGCTAATCTTGCCCGCTTTGGGTACAGGACAGCAGCAAGGGGTTTACCAAATTGACTATCTTCCTTATCAGATGATGCCTGTGAACATGCGTACATGTCATAGTTTCGGCTGTGACCAGTAATTTTGACTACATTCCGCTATAGTTGCTACCACTGTTACTACTGCTATGCGGGGTCGGTCGCCCCTCCCTTTGGTTTATAGAATGACGAGGTGTCCTGTGGGCACTTCAATATTCCTTCCCTACCATTTACGTGCAGGTTCACCGCAATGTGAACAGAAATATTTGACAATTGTCTTCATTCTTAAGAATCTGCTCGTCTCTGCTGTCTTGTTGCTCTTTGAGTGCCGAGCAGCGTTACCATGTCTTGTGAATACTCTTTTCCCACGTCTTATTCCAATGCTGATCCCAGTGCGGAGCAGTCTTCCTTCCATCATCACCAAGCTCTGTGTCTAGTTGTAAGAACAACATCGATGCTCGAGTGACTTCGGCGGCCTGGATCGCAAAACGCTCTCCAAACTTGGGTTGGAGGGAATACTCTCGAGGACTAGGTGTTCAACTCGTGCATATTGTACTCGGCATCAATAATAGGCAGTATGGGGTTTTGCGGTTACGACCGAAGATTCGGCTATTTGGGTAACCTAGATCGGGTTGAGCGGGCAATTCATTAATGCGCTGTCTTGACGAGTGGCTGTGACTAACTGGACTCGTTCGATATCACTAAGGTCTTGGGTGGCGGCGGGCCGCAGTCGAATGTTCTTCGCGCGGGATACGAATAGTATTGGACGGGTCGTATTAGCTTATCCCAACGCAATAACCGACTACTAAGAAACATCCCGGAAACATCATTTCTCATTTCTTTCGGACACGTGTGAATTTGCTACCATTTCCTCCTGACTTGCTAGACTTGAGCGACTGATGGACCGCCTCAGACTCTCCAAAGCTGTCGAAACCTTTGAGGATGCGCAGATCTGGTTCGTCGAGCATGCCCAACTTCTGCGCCAGATCTTCAGGAACGCCAGGCACCGCGCTCATACCAGTAGAACGAAGTACGCCGCTGGCGATAGCAATTATCTGTAGGATCAGCGGGAAGGGTTCACCATTATAAAACATCCATCGTGCATTTCTAATTCCACATATGATGTTTTATTGAAACCAACTTGAAGATATCAGGAAACCACGAGCCAGGAGAAGATTACTAGCCCAGCAAGGTTGAAGTGTCGCATCACCTGGCTATTGCGCAACTTCGCCCTGCTGGACTTGAGATGGGCCAAGAGCGAGCTGAACATAGTCTCCGCCTGATGCAGCATCGACGCGTTACTCGATGCCCATCCGCCTGAGGTGGGAGTTCACTATATTAGATGGTCACCAATCGGTACCAGACAATGCGGTTGCAGTTAGATCGTTGGTGTTGAGGAGCCATTGGGGATCCTGTAGGGCTCGAGGTAGGGGCTTGAGCGGGATGGAGTGGCGAGTGAGGTCGGATACAAAACTGCTCTCTTCTCTAACAGAGGGAACTCCATCACTGGTCGGAAAGGAAAGCCCTACTCTGGTAATAGGAGGACTGCCATGCCCTCCTTCCCAGCCCGAGCAGTACGGCCGACTCGGTGCACATAGGAGTCTACATGACTTGGAGCCATGACCTGTAAGCAACGCTACAACAGTGCTGCTGGCGTAACGGTAAGGACCTGTATAACAGAAGAGACGTCCGAGTAGTCCATGCCCCGACTAGAAACATCACTAGTGAACATAATGGCCGACTCAGAGGTCTGGAACTGGGCCGATGCCAGGGTCCCTATTGTGGCAACATCAGTCAATGCTCCCACCGAGGCTGCTATCACATACGCTCGTTTTGATTCCTTTTCTTGTGCATCTCAATGACCGGCATGCGGAATTGACGGTTGAATAGGGTCGAGAAGAATGCGGTCATGCGTGCAGTAGGGAAGAAGACCATTATCTTATGGTCATAGGGAGCCTTCCTGAAAAAAAAACATAGTACTTCCGACTGTGAGCGGCCGTGACCTATCTTAGCGACATTCCCCCCGCACGTACGTGATCTCATCCTGAAGAATGTTATGGAGAGCTGTGACGATCCTGTGAGCCGGGCAGGTAACGTAGAACTGTTTATCGTTCATCGACTCGGGAGTGGCCACCACTTCCATGGTGTCTGCCTGGCCGTGTGAAGAGGAGGCGTCACCTATACAGTCCACAAAGGCGTACCTACAATACAAAAGCTGGCCGGGACGATGACAGAGAAACAGGCGCTTGTCAGTCACAGTCAAAGGCGAGTCGAGTAGCCATCATTGCTAAACAGCAGCACTGGCGGTGGCCTACCCTCGATGGCACCAACTCTGAGCCTTCCCAAGAAGGACTTCCGGTATGGTAGCCGAGCATAGGATTGTCCGACGGCTCCGAGGCATCACCCCATCCACAATGTCCAATGTGTCGGCGAAACTGAGCTCGAGGAGACGATCCGCTTCGTCCAGGACCAGCCACTGCCACAGGGATGAGTTGCCACACGACCACGGTCAGCAGTACTCACCTCAAGCTTCTCGAAAAGTGTATGGAACATGAAAGTACCTTCTATATGGTCCCCTATCCTACCCGGCGTACCGACGATTATCTTAGGTCGTCGCTTTCGAAGCGTCTAATAGTCCATCCAGTTCAAGGGCATGCAGAGTGTGTGACCAACCTCAAGGTCGTGCCGTCTCGGTACTCCCCCAACCAGTGCTACTGCCGACAACTCCCTATCGTGATGAACCAATAGCCGATCCAACTCTGTACATGTCTGCAGCCCTAACTCTCGTGTTGGGCACAACTGACACCAGTGTAGGGAGATATGCACATTGTCTACTGAGGTAATTTTTCCAAATTCTCTCCATGTTTTCTGTCCATTTCTTCCCAAATTTGCATGTAAACTCCTATAATCATCGAGGAAACTCTGGAGCTCAATTGAGGAAAGCGGTCATATATTCCAGCACTGACTACACCTCCCAGACTACACAATGACCGGGCGGAGCGTTCCTCTCCCTCCTACTATCAAGGCCGAGACCCCTCCATGTGACTTCCAGTTAGGTGTGTTCACTATTGCCTCTACGATGGGCAGGAGGAAGGTCAAGGTCTTCCCTGTACCAGTCCTGTAGCATTGCAATCAGCATCCGGGCAGTATTGAAACTCTTTGTTCACCTTGCCTTTATGAGCACGTCGCAGTCATCCATCATAAGCTTCGGCAATGACCGTCTCTGAGTTGCTGTGAGAGTGTCTAGTTTCATCACCTATACGACGACCCATGCTATCCTATGGCAAGCCCGAACCCTACCTCTGCAATACCCCTAGCGGTATTGCTCGTCAAATTAAGGTCTGTGAACCTCGTCGGTGCCAACGTTGTCGTGGTCCTGTCTTTCATTACAGCTGCCTCGGTATGCAGCCATCGACATGCATAACGTGCAGTGGGCGTTCGTACAACAAGCCTTGTGCAGCTGGCAAGGCGACACTGCATCGCACAAGGGAATGACAACTGCTGACGAGAAAGCCTCACTCGATGGGTAAACTCAACTCGCATGAACTGAGCAATGCAAAAAACTTTACGAAGATATTCATTGTATTCCAAACCACTAGCTACGACGACGACACCGTCGCCCCCGTGCTCGATGAGAGCTTCCACAGTCGTCTAGCCTCGGCTACCGAATGCACCATGTTACTGATGTAGTTGACCCATCGAGCCTAAGTACATAGTATAGATAACGCAACGCTACCATCCACTACCTGGAGGAGGCCCTTCACTACTGCCTTCTGCTGGCTCGTTTCGAGCTCTATGAAGTCCTCTGGGAAGTCAGGATCGCTGCCACCCAAGGAACTTGTATTCACATCACAGGGGGATCGACTCACTCGGGTGTACAGTATTTCCTCTGCCTTTGCTTGTATGCCAATCGTTCGGCAGCGAGAGCCTTTGATTCCTTCCTGGACAGATGATCAATGCTGGGCGAGCACGCCGGCGGGTAGTGATTGGAAGCGAACTGAAAGGACTGCTGCTGCTGCTGCTGCTGCCAACTCCAAGACTAATTTGACATATTCCCCACCCATTCGAGCTCAGCTATTCGCCTAGCGAAGCTGACGGGGATCTTGAGGGCCGCTGCAATGACTGTAGGGTCCCGACGTTGGTCCTCAGGTAGAGGGTCGGGGAAGACCTTGAAGCACAATGCTAGAGTGACTACCTCCCTGAGGCTTTGCATGCCTACATAGAGAACCATACGGATCCGGACAGCAGCAATACTCACCCGGGCTGGGATCCTCAAATGTGATCTCATCTATATCATTGGCCGAAATAGCTGCTGCGGCTATGTGATGGTAGAGCATACCTCCATATCCCTACGGACGATTCGCCATCGTCGCAAGATCGATCCACCACCACCACGACTGTTCTCACCTTTTTCTGTTGACTCGGTATAGTGAGGAACTGGGCTACCCTTATACGCCTCTTACCGTCCCCAACAAGGGAAGGGAAGCTGTAGACAGAAGCACAGCTCTTCATTTGTTGCGTTGTAACATCGCGCAGGAGATACAACGTCCATCTGAGGCATAGATAAGAATTCTCACGATACTATCTTGAGACCGACCTGCCGCCGATAATGCATCCCGATTGCTGTTGCTCCTGGCCTCCACCAGCTTCTGTGCAGGGAGGCAAGTCGACAGTACCGCTGGCGTCAATGAACCAGAGCATGAGCCATTCTACTCGTCGCCAGAAACCATATAGAGAGTCCGGTAACTACAGTAGTAATGACGTACTAATAACAAGGTGAGCAGTCCCTGCTACGGTTATGAGTTCGAGGAATGATGGTATGGCAGGGTCGAGCATTGCTGAACACAAGGAGCTGTCCTTGAGCTTCTTCAGCAAGCCACTATCTCTGCCATTGATGCCCAGTTGGAAGGCCTCACACCCACCGTAGAAAGGCTTCAGTGACTGATACAGGAGTCTCCGCACTGTCGATCATCAGGCTGGGACTCTTACCAAAGGAGAGAAGCGCGCCGTGTGCATGCGTGCAAGGATAGTATCACAATGACGCTTGTAGGCAGCCTTCATGAGCTTATCGTTTGGCAACTAATTGAGCCTCCTGTTACTCTGACTAATGAGAAGCCGCCGACCTTAGGATGTTCGAATCTTATCCCGACGCTGACATCGCGAGTGTCGACGTCAATACGGATAACGAAAGGAGTGAGGGTCTTCAACCATACGAACGACTCCGTCTCATCGAATGATTGATGCGCCTGAGAGAAGAAGCCTTTCCCATATAGACACTCAAGTTGAGGTTCACGTAGGCAGGAGGGATGCCTTCCTCAGCATCGTCGAAGTAGAAACGCATCACGTCGACCACTTCCAGCTCGCATACCTGCCATAATCCCATCTCGAGTGCTGACAGCAGTGACGGCCATGACCTCACTACCTCAGTGCTGACCTCAGCCTCGCCAACATCCTTCCTCAATATCTCTCCAACGACTCTCCTCTTGTTAGCTGCCGGGCTAGGACCAGTGACTCTCTGCTTCTTGGTCGGGGCTAGCATGCTCGTGGACACCAACGACCCAAACTAACAGTGTGGCCATTGTCGATCGCTTCAAACCGACGAATGAATAAAATTCAGCGAGAAAGTCCTTCCATTGCGAGTATTATCAATCACGCCTCCGAAAATCTTCAGCTTTAGAAGTCTAGTACTGGTCATTTGCAGATTCAGCATGAGAAACTTCAAGCCCCGGCCAGTGGGTGCCATTGAAGCGATCATTGGCAATAGTCATTTTTAGCTGGGCTCGGGAGGTTCCTCACTAATTATAGAACTTCACGCACGAATCCGGGTAGAAGTGTACAGAAACCAACAAGAATTCTGCAAAATTTCCTCGGAGTTGTCATATTGTCTTCAGCACATGTAGTTGACAATGTGCATATTTTCCCACACTGTATTGTGAAGACTACGACACGACAACGTATGAAAAGATCATCAGAAACCATTCTACCAGCAATGATAATGCCAGCATCAGAAACAGCCATCATGTCACTCATTGAGAACACAGTTGAAGGCAATAATACGACGGATTGAATTGTGGGCGAAGAGGGGTACCGTATTCGGCGTCAATCGAAAAAGAAGGCAGACTCTCGGACCCTATCCAATTGGAGATTTCCTCGTCCTGGCAACTCCGGCAAGAGGAAAGAGTTCACTCCAAGCATGATGCTAAGGTCACGATACAGGTTATCCAATATAGGCTCATTATGCAGCTTGACGAACATATCTCTAATTATGGTATTCAACTCATCAACATCACAAGCATGTGTCCAATAGCTGTCATGGACAGCTGCAAAGGCCAAGCCATGTTTTGCAGACTCCTCCGCTGTAAGAAGCATATGAGTACCATCAAGACTATGGATAAAGTTAGGAGGGAAACCCATCCGTTGCTTCGTCTTCGACACCGGCATATCATCCGATTCGACGTTGACCTAAGTCGGACAGGTTTACTCAACACCCCGAAGTGCCCTCCTACCTTCACATAGCGCTGCATGGCACCGTTCAACCCTGCCATAGCAGAGGTCTGCAAAGAGACATCCACCGATGCCTGGGCCCTGTAGGGCTGCCGACAGGGCATTCCCAACACTGGGGTCGACCAACACACAGGCAATCCATGGGCTGTGAGCACCCGAGATGCAACATCGAACCACTTCTTGATCTTCATTGCTTGTTCGAAGACCTCATCAATAGACGTCAAGACCAGTTGACTCAAATACTTGGCCATTTGCATCAGCTCCTCAGAGTCGAGAGTGTCCCCGACCAAATCCTCCAATTGCTTTTTCACCTGGTCTCGAGCACCTGGAGGTAGTAGCAATGCAACCCCTACCAGAAGCCGCCAGGCTACTACCCAAGCTGGTGACGCCATAACAGATCGTCATAACCGTCTGTTTCACAACCTTTCTTTTGAGCACCCCCAACTCAATTGCTTGCCGTGCCAAAGCATGGCCCTGATCAGCATGCCGCTCCACCTTGCCCTTCACGATGTCCAACACAATCATATACACATCTTGAACCTAAGCCTATTACCATCACAACAACCGTACCACACTTCGGCTACCTCAGCGTTGGGTAGAATATTCACTGCCGTAGCTCCCCATTCGTCCCTTCCTAGAGCGGCGTAATGCTGTAGACCATTACATGAGCCATCCTGATGCACCGAGATGCCCGTCGAATACTCCTCAGGGCCTCCAGGGTGCCTCAACGCCTCAGCCACCTACACCGACCATGCGCGACGATGCCGCCCTCCGCCTCACTTCGAATATGACGGCCAAGGCTTGCCATGGGTCATCAGCCTCCAACCAGAACTCCGCGTTGCCCAATGGGTCTGCTGCCGAGACCAGAATACTCTCCGTCTGCCTATCAGTCCAGTCCACGCGATCCTACCAGCATCATGATGATGGCTGCTCACCGGCCTACCTACTGCTACTAGGGCCTCACCTGCAATTTGAGTTTATCATGACCAAACAGGTTAGCCAAATGCAATCTAAGCCACCACCACCCGCGCTCTCCAAGACGCTTCTTCTCGCTGTAACAACATGGACTATACCAACCTCTGTCTTATGAACCTCACTTGAACATGAGCAGACCACGGCAGAGGTCATCCCCTTGGTGCTGTAGATGAGGAGGCAATGGGTAGCATCGTCCACGGAAGTCCAGGTTGTGCGGGAAGTATCTAACCCACGCCCAAGTCAATACTCCGTGGCTCACTACGTTATCCCCGACTCCTATAGAGCCATACTTACAGTCCAGTAGACACGTTGCGGAAAGCTCTCGCGCTCTTGAGCTTGAGGAGAAAGGTTGGCCGCACCGAGGCCAGCTTCTCATTATCCTTATACGCCTTCATGACAGCTAGCTTGGCCGATTTCATCGCCTTTTCAGTCAGGCCCTCCTTCTCCCCTGGCAGGTTTGGTATGTCCAGGTCAGCTCTAGGAGGTATGTCTCCAATCCTGAGATCCTGCCGCCATACTTCTTCCACTACGTCCAAGACCTGCAGTAACCACTGTAACCAGAGTACTGGAGGAGCTACTAAAATAAAGTAGTCCTTATCACATTCCAAAGCCACAATAGTTGCACACGTTACACGCATTTCTACACTAAAAATGACACTAATAAGTCAGCTAGTAATCGATCCCTATCATTGGCCTCATCTTCCCAACCTAAGCACGACGGTCAAGCCTTCGAAGTTCATGCTCTCATTCCGCATCGAGAATACTGGCATCACCTTCTCGTTGATCTTAAAAGGTGTCGAACCGAGGTAGTCCAGGATGCGTTGGACTCTGGTAAGATCGACATGCCTTATATCCCGAGACGTTATCCTACTTCCTGACAATGTGAGACAATCCAGCGGAGCGATGCGAAAATTCATCACCTGTGAAGCGAATAAACGGTGTTCTATGTGTGAGATATCCTCCCTCCCAGAACCCCTGCCATGGGTTAGGCTTGCACACTAACGGCTGTAGTTTAGTCGCTAGTAAGTGGGCTGGCGATCCCTCTAGACGACTTGACGAGCTCGACGATCCATTACCCTGATTTAATCGGGTAGTATTGAAACATTTGTTCGCTCCCCTCAGCTGAGATCAGAAGTTTCCTCACTGATTCGTATGTATGTATATTCGACTTCGGGCAGAAGTATACAGAAGCCAACAGGAATTTCCCAAAATTTCCATATTGTCATCGACACATGTGGTTGACCATATGCATATTTTCCCACACTGGACTCAGTGATTCGGTCATCCACAGGAGCATGCCTGTCAGCCGCACCCTACCGTTCGTAATAGCGCATCAGCTGCCACCTTCCTAAGACACAGCTCTCCCTGTATCTTGCTCTGTCGCCGTACCAGACGATGCCGGAATGCTCGCATGAGCACCTTCAAGAGGCCAACACCAATACTCGCTTTCCTCCCCAAACCATGACCAGGCCGCTCACCTTGCTATGGTCCCCTCCAGCATGCTTACTCTTGTAGATGCTATAACGCTGATTCACCCTCGTTGGACACGGCAAGAAGCCAAACGCCCGGGATGGGTTCTCCGACACGTCAGTGATCCCCGTAGGCAGGACCGGCATTGTAGTCGAAGAGCTCTCTTCAGCCTGGAGAGGCACGTCCTACAGCAGACATGCATGCATACAGCTTGGCGGCGCTAGTGGATAGGAGATCCTCTTCAACTCCATACACGACTTACCATAAACTCTGAGAAACCATCATAGTCCTCCTCCTCCTCTTCTTGACCATCTTGCTCATCCTCAACGACCGTTATACTGTTGAAGGATTGGTCCGCCGAAAACGCTGCTGTTGCTGATTCTGCCTCTGTGGATGACCCATGCCTCACCGCAGTCTGCCGGATAAATCACTGACGTCAACCACAGAACTTACTTTGTCCATGCGTGCTTCCTCACTGAGCTCCATCTTACATGCATGGTAATCACCATGAACGAACGCCTCGGCCATTAGAGACCGCACTAATACCACTCCTACCCGAACCTACTTACAAAAAATATCAAAGCTACTGTCTAGAAGCGGTCTAATTGACCTTCTCTATAGTATCCCAGTCCTGGTCGGCTCCCAACTTGGATTCCATCATCCTCTGCAGTTGCCGTGTTTGACTAGGGACGGTCTTGCCACTAGCCAATGCCGCCTCATTACTCGCCTCTAGTAGCCTCTTCATACGGAGTTCTGAAATTGCATTAGACATGCTGAACGACAGTTCGCTGAACATGGTGGTGATAGACATAACAGACGAACTAATCTTCTTCACATCACTCTTACTCCCATGTAGGTTTTCCAATCGCCGACGATTGAGCTCAAAGTTAACTTGTGCGCCGACCTGGGAGCAGACGTTGGTGATCGAACAGGAGTACACGCGTGCAGGCAACTCCTCCACCTTCCCCGCTCGAGCATTCCAGTGCCTATTATAACAACACTCATGATGATCACATCACCAGAGTTAGAAAGTCTACCGTAGTGTCTCTGTAGCACGATCATGCGCGTCTTGCACGAGCCCATCGGAGCCACGAGGGGCAGCAAACGGGTGACGACCACTATTTGGGGTACACAGCATAGTAAGGACGTTACGAACAGTGACGACCGATATCAGGTTAATCTCTTCTGAGCTCAGCGTTGACAAGAATGGATGAAGATCTCTCGATTTCTCCAGTCTATTAGCCAAGAGTCGACACCACGACATCCACACTGACTTGTCCGTCAGGGAATCCGTCGCCTTCCCTTGCTTACTCAGCTGGTTGACATACTCCTCATATTCAGCCAGGGCCTGTCTAGTATTCTCATACTCTATCACAGCCTGACGTCTTCTCAACACACGCTCATACGAGTCGGCATAGCCCGGTTCGACTCGTACACAGTATTGGGCCCCTTCACCGTAAAGGAGGTCTCTGACACCTCGCAGCCAAACCGCTGCATCTGGATCGTCAGTTGACATGGGCGGCAGACCCTCTACCAGCAACTGACCATCGTCGTTCGGCTCCGCTAAAATGTCCTCGAAAAGTATACCATTTTTACTCAGAAAATCGTCAGCTTTCAGTATTGACTCTGTTAACTTCAAAACGTCGACTTCCCCGGGATCGTCCAACACCGGAAGAGCCCGGCCAGATTTCAACTCGAGCATCGCTGCGAACTGGTCGCGGCTGTCCAGCAGATCCTCCAATGCTGCTGAGACAACCTCAGGCACTTGCGGCTTGTAAGCTCGCATGGACAGCGTTCGTCTCGCGAAGATAACCACTGAGCCTCGTGCTGCCGACAGAAGGGTGTTGGAAAGAGGTATGTGAGCTATAAGAGGCATTAGTATACTCAAAGATGCATAAAACGGGAAGGAACTAGGGTGATGCATAAATTTCAACACAGAGAAACATGCCGATATTATAAAGTTGATCACGTTGTCGGCGAGCGCTATCTTTACAGTTGTCGGCGACCGCCACAGTAAGCGATTCCTTTTCTGCCAGTTACTGGCCTCTGTCGTGAGTCTAGAGATAATCTACACTGGGAAGTACAATAGTGTGAAGAGCATGAACGTATGTTCTACTGTGTATCATTGCAACTATTATAGGCGCTACTGTATATTTTTCCTGCTGCGCGGTCTGGTCCGCCCTATACTTGACCTCATAAACTCCGTTGCTGCACTAGGTGTAGCTCGGAGTCGCCTGACCGTACGGCGGCTCCGAGCGACAGAGACAGGGAGAGGGGGAAGTGTAATAATATACCCACGCGTTGATCCCTAGCGTAAAAGGTTTGCCTGTATCCAACGACCTTACCGATGATAATACCCATTTGTTCCCATTCTCACTGCGGCAATTACTTGCGTGAATGATTTCACCTATCGGTACCAAGTTCCTTTATTTTCGTCTAACCCCGGAACGAGTTACCATCCTCGGAATAGTCCTAGAGTGTGGACTGTAAATCCTAGTAGGCCAAAGCTGGACAGTAGATTGACTAAGAGGGGAGCACTGGATATCAGAAACTGTACGTAGAAACCAAATGTGGATATGGTGGTCATCACGAGCCGAAGAACCAGCTCCATCGTCGTCGAAGTGTCTGCCACCGAGACTCGTTAGGATCTGGAAGTTTCACATTGGAGAGGTCGATGGATCCCCGAGCTGTAGACCCAGAAGCCACAGCTTTCCTGAAATCGAAGCCAAGTAACAGCAAGACACCCTCGCAGCTGAAGCAATACTTGAACGCTGCCTTCATCCGAGCCTCCGCCGCTTGCCTTGCATTGGTCTGGGATGCCGTAGAGCCGTGCGACTCGTCATGAGCAGAGATAAGACCCGAATCAACCAGAACCTAAGATTCGCCACCAAGCTTCGGCACGGCGGATGCTTCTGGGTACTGCTCACCCGTTCGACCTCGGGACCAGCTCGAAGACTCTTCAATAGTCCCAGGGTGGTCTCGCTGTCTCGAGAGGGCGGGTTAGTCGACACTGCGCTGAGGAGGATCTTTCCGACCAGAGCAGTGAATGCGGGACCTGCGATGATCATCAAAGTGAAGTCGAAGGAATTGCATTGGTCTTACTCGACTCCTCAGAATCGTTCATCAAGGACCGCGTTACGAGTATTATATGGCACTGCTGCTGCGTTAACGAGCTCTTCGTGTCGAGGAGAGCGACCGCAGCAGCATCGTGGAGTTCCCGGAAGCTTGCCGGCGGTGGTGAAGATGTTGGTGATCCGTCATCACCGAGACGACCTCTCCCAACGGCCCTACCATATGCACTCAGTGTTAGGCAGACGGTAGCTGGAGGGGTGCCCCCGCGCAAAAACTGGTATTTCAAAGCAGGGACTAAATCAGCGAGGAAACCCTCCGGCCCCTTCAACAGCTTCACGCAGTTGAGGGCAATCAAAGCCAGGCTATGCACGTTGGTATTATTGGCGAACTGAGGCGATGTGATTCGCGCGGCGAGTGGTTGCAAACCGTCTTGAGGGATCTCCATGCAGACATGATCGGCCGCAAAAGAGAGGAGTGAGAGGACCTCCGAGATCTCTTCGTCCTCAATTGGACGTCCTAATACAGTTTGCGCGATAAAGTCCCAAGTCAGTCCCCACTGCAGCCCATCTCGTTGTAGCCGTTGGAGCCCATGACCCAGCCGGAGGATGAGACGAAGGTCAGCCTCAGGTGTGATGACCGTAGAACAGAGATGCTGCATCCACATAGTAAAGGCCGAGCTGCTGCCAGAGGGGGCATCACTGATTGCTATCCCTTGACTAACTGATACAGCCAAGTCGATTAGCATCGGACTAGCAGCGCAGTCGGCCGTTATCACTTTCCGACCGCTCTCGAGAAGCATCTGATATCACCAAAGGGAACACCTCGAAGGATGCAGACCAGACGAATCTACCTCTGCCAGAGTAGCGTTCTGTTGGGCACCGAGAAGTGTGGCCGCATCGGCAGCCCATTGCAGTTCGTCCATGGCTAAACCATCTTCTGCTGTATGCCGGGACAAGAGGCCGACCAATCGATCAGCTGCAGCCGCTCTCCTCCCATCTCGCTTGGAAGGGTCCAGCCGCAAGGTGGCGATGATCAAATCCACCAAGTCGCGCTCAGAAAGGCCTTCACCTCTCTCTAGCCTCCCATCGATCTGCAGCAATTCGTAACTACGTCCCAGCGGATAATTTCACTGCCCGTGAAGTACCTCAGTGAGTAGCTCGCGCCGCGCCTCATCGCTCTCGGTGCTGAAAGCAACCCCCAAGCTCGCTAGTTGGAGAGAATCCAACGTCGACAAGCGATTGAGAAGCTCCTGGGTTATTCTCCTGAAGAGCATATACTAAATACTAATGCCATATCGCTTCCTAACCTGGCCAACGCCGCATCCACCCTTTTCACAGGGCCGAGGCTCGAAAGCAGCAGTTGGAAGTCTGCCGCAGGAAGCATCTAGCGACCACGCATCCCATCTGGCGACGATATTTCGCGCTACTACATTTTCCACCCGTTTCGATAGAGCCGCGGTAACCTCAATGTTGTCGGAACCCCTCAAGATACCAAGGTCAGCCGCGACTAGGAATACTGCCAGAGCCTGCTCTTCCTCGAGGCCAGTGGAAGACGAATCTTCCGACCTCAACAGGGGATTTATAACTCTCGATAAAAATACCTGAAAACAAAGCTAGGAGGGCCCCACTCAACCCATGAGAATTGCAACACCGAATACCCCCCCCCCACCTTTCGATAATCGACAAGCATGCTTTGTGGCACTATGCTGGCAACGCAATGCGAGATGTCAACGAACCTCCTGGGGTCCGACTTGAGAGCTCCCTCTGCCGACACCGCCAAGTCTGGAAAGAGAAAATATGAGAGGCAGTGCGAGACCTTGAGCGGTACCTGCTAGTTCCTCTCGAGGTGGCACCTCAGGAGCCTTCCTCTGTAGAGCTGCGGCCGCCTTGAAAAGACTGTCCACTGGATGCAATACTCTGGAAGTTGCCGCAGCAGAAGCAGTAGCGGAGCTTTCTATCGCCGCCCGCAATAATGAAAATCTCGACAGCATTGCCACGCCGAACAACACTGATTCCGCTGAGAGAGCAACGACTACTACTCAGGAACGTCGAAGCCGTGAGAGAACGTATTAAGACGCTCACTAACCCAACGAGATCATCGCCAGCAACGGAAATTCTCAAGTATAGTAACCCAAAAATGCCCCCGGTAGATCCTCTTCGGTAGAAGTGTAATGATCACGATGCAGACACAGCAGTAGCCTTGACGAAGTCCTCAAAGCACAGACGTGCCGTCCGAAGGCTTTCCTCGGTGCTGGCGGAGTCCTCGAGCAACTCCAAGCACTGCTGACGGATGCCGCCGAGCCTCGGACGGACCTCGGGGCGAGCGCGAATAACTTCCATAAACCTGACGACCTCAAACCATCACAGCCATCACGATGAGAGTTTGTAGCACCTCTCGCATATGGTCCTCTTGAGATTCACGTTATGCTTGAAGTGGGAGAGTTTGAATATTCCCTCAAGTGTGGGCATAAACGTATCGAGGATATCGGTCGGATCGTTACGGAGCAGACACGCCTGACGATGAGAAGATGACTAGTACGTAATAGCAACTTCCTACCGAGGCCAACAGGTCCACAGCACCATCACTGCGCTCCCAAGCAACTGCATATCTATCCTCACCGCTGGAACAGTTCATACACCCACCACCTGGACTCTGTCAAAAGGCATCCGGATCACCTCAAGGACGCGCATGCCTTACCTTCTTCTTGAGATGCCCTAAGTGGGTCTTCGGCGCCAGAGAGCCGCAACTGTACATAGTCTGATTCGATACCTGATCCCACCGAATCACTCCCCCAACGCACATTGCCAGTGTCTTGACTGACCTCTTCAGGAGGGACATAGTCCTCGTGGGCTACCTTCTTGGCAGGCACCGAGAAGGGGCCACTGGGAGTATAATGAGAGAACGACTCGGAACTACACAAAACTCTGTCACGGATGCTTAGCAATCGAACGCCTACTTAGGGGACTGCTCATGTGCTGCCCCCAGATGGCGCTTAAGGATGGCCGACAAGTCCACACGAGAGGGCTGATTCTCTGCTAGCTCAGCGAGGGCTGATGCTGCATCACGACGGAGAGAAGGGATATTGTCCTGACGTTACCACCAAAATCTGATATTAATTCCACCATGGCTGCCACCTACCTGCATGAGGTTCTCCAAGGTAGCAGCAAAGCCCTCAACTGCCGCACTTAGAGCTCCCTCTGCCTCCTCACCACGCTTACTGGTATCAAAGCATCTGCTGCCGTTGTTGCCGGTCGATGACCCTTTCTTGGCTTGAAGAGAGGCCGTGGAGTAGAGCTCCCCTATAGCCTGGGCCGCGGTGTCTCTTACAGGCCAGGATTCATCCTAGGGGTAACAACGACAGGCTCATCCAATGAGAAGAGGATCGCTCGGACGCCCACAGTGGAAATGATAAACGAACCCACTACATTCCCGGGAAAATTCATACCACACTTCCAAAGATTCATTGTAAAGAGACCATTGAAAGGCAGCATAGAGAGGCTCTACCTGAGTAGCCTCACTCAGAAGACCAACGAGGCGCTGCATGGTCACTTCACATGCCTCCGCTGTACTCGTCTGAACAGAGATAGATGCCAGTACGACTCAAGAGGACCCAAGCCCTCTACCTCAGCTGCAGCAGGAAGGACCCTCGAGCCTATCTCCCTAACGCAGTGGCAGCTAGCCTCCCGTACGGCATGGTTAGGAGCATTCATGGCCTGTCATCACATTGTGCATTACCAAGGCATTTGCATGAGAGGCCACCTCCTTTAGCACATCCAAGACTAGCGGCATGTTCTCCACAAGAAGCCACGACCCGCCTTGAGGCCCAACTAAGAGACGCCAAGTGCCCTGTGCATGCATACGGACACCTTCGGCGACGTAGTGTCTGTATCATCAGAGTTATGAGCTGCGGGAAGAAGCTGAAGATTACCTGTTGAGGTAAATGGCAACAGCCATGTTGGCAAAATCAGGCAGAGTGGTGAGTCTATCACGTATAGTGAGGTCCGTGAAGGTATCCACCTTGGTGACCACTGCTCTAGCAGCAATACACGACGCGTATCTGAACGAGTCGAGGAACTCGATCCATGGAATCTGGCCACGAAAAAAATCACCAACGCACGCTCCTCATCCGACTAGGGAGAGCCCTCGGGGAGGAGAATGTTGGACACCCAAAGTCACCAACTCGTCGCGCGAGCCAATACTATTCTATAATTCTACAATGCCAAGCGAGCGGCTCCGGATACACCCCGCCCTACTACCTAACCTGACTCCAATTATCCTTCAAGCCTTTGGTGATCCACCCGACCATGTCTCTGAACTCAGCCCAGCCGTCTGCCTCTAGGCCTGAGATGATGCTACACTTCGCTCTCCCAGAGAGTTACGCCTCGCACCTTGACGGCCTGCAACAGTCACAAGGTCCGCTAAAGCAAGGAAGGAGTACTCTCGAACAAAACGGTTGAGATGTGCACTTGACAACCTCAGAGTATCTATCCTCACAATACAGCCTCTCGACGGTTCTACCATCGGGAACAGGTACCTAGGAGATCCTTGTCGAGAGATCCTCCCTCCCCTCGAAATTGCTGTCCACAGCCTAGCACGATCTTCTGTACAGCTCGCATGGAGGTCTCGAGGGACGACCAACCCTCAGTGTCATGATGGCCGAGAGCAGCAGGACGGTGTCCGTCTACAGCACGAGGTACACGAAAGTGTAGAGCACGTGAAGCATACCTCTATGAGCGGCATTATTATCATCAGCAGCTACAATCCGGACTCTGTGATCTTCAATGTCATTGAGAAGGAAATCCTTCATTTTCAGCCACACTGCTCGGCCTTCTCGCTGGCTTTGGGCCTCGAGGAGATCTCCTACAGCGAGGCGAACGCGGTATCTGAGTAACAGTGTGGGAAAGCGGCTAAAGCTACTGTCGAGAGTATTCCCCCGCACATGAACTCAATAGCCATGAGATGCACTCCCGTACTACTCTTTATCCTTCAGAGCAGTATGGACGGCCTCGACCACTCGGCCAGAGAGTTCGTTGTCCTCTAGGAGGTTGAATCCCCCACACTGACGCTCAACCTTGGCCATAACCAGCAGAGCCGATTGTACTGACTCCCACACACTGTCCGCAGTAGGGCTTAACACCAAATCAAGCACGGTGTTTTCTAGAGCTGTAACATCCGATAGCTAATAGGAAGAGTGAATGAAGGCGTTCCCATTGTCCAATCACTACTACCTTTGCTGTATCACCACTATCGACATCTCTCTTCATGGACACCAAGATCCCAGCGAGGCGGTCGGCCGCTCTCTCACGGGTGAGTCTAGCCAGACTGCCTAACGCTGCTATCAACTCGGGTACAGACTCTGCAACTGCAGGCATCGACTGAGGAAGGTCGCCTCACTCCAACTATGCCGCGACAAGTATTGAACCAAAACGCAACATGCTTAGGAAGCCGACGACCTCACCTGCTGATGATCCCTCGTAGTCCCAGCCGCTGCTGCCTCGTTGTTGGACGAAGGAGTCATGTAAGCTGAGTTCAAACGGTTAGTACTACGAGGAACTCAGTCTCGGTTGCCACAGACTTCAAAAGGCGATCACATGAGAGGACGAACTTCATGTAGATAAGCATAGTGTTTGCAATCCGAGGGCTTTGCATGAACCGAGATACAAAGTTCGGCTGATTAGCGGCGAACGTCCAGATTTGAGAACTTCCAGGAAGGGAGACCGTTGGGATGGTCTCCGTACACGACATCGAATCTCTTCGAGAGACGAAAGTCCACTTAGCAGTTCAAAGGTGCTTAGGCAGGCATCCCATTAGTAGAACTCATTAACAGGTGAATTGGTGTGAGGGACTCCAACTTGGAGGAGTGGGAAAACTTTTGATGGCTGTTGTTAAAATCATCCGTAATACGGAGTGAAAAACGCAATATCATACCAACAACTCTTGATATTCTGGTCTAACGGTGGAGCGACAATTTCTCTCAAGCAACGACCCTGGTTCAAACCGAGGTGAGGCAACTTTTGTAGCATAAAGTTGATTAGTCGGCTTGTACTGTACTTTCTCCCACATTGTCCTCGCGGAGCCTCGTAGACAGGCCACATAGTTTACGAACTGAACAAAATTCACGGCCAGAAGTATCTCATCTGAAACCCATCATGGAACAGATTCGAGCGAAAGGGACCATTCGAGTAATCACGAATTACTGTTTATACAGTTGACGGGTTCTATGTCTTCGACGGCGTTACGATATCATCACCTATCGTTTGGGGAGATTCAGGCCGTTACGGTACTCTACAGACCCTGCTTATCGTTTGGGGAGGTTCAGGCCGTTACGGTACTCTACAGATCCTGATACTGTATGTCATATAACATTCACCTATCCCACATAGTAACTCGACACGCATCGTTGTTCCTAGTAATTCTGGGCGTGCATGATAGAAGAGTTATTCTAATGAAAATGAGGAGAGCCAAGCAAATGAAACTACATATGGTTGAAGTGTGATAGATAGCAGATTAAGAAATGAATCTAGATCATATATCGTCGCTATTTATGATCTCTGCCATCGATGCCTGACAAGAACTAGAAGCCGCAAAACAGCTCAAGGAACTCACCCGCCTCAAGCGTGCCTAGCCACTGCATGCGATGCACGTCTCCTCGTCCTCCTGCACCTAAACAGACTGATTCGCACACATGCCCAACCACAACCAGTGATTGACGATTAACCCGATTCATCGAGTGATTCGAAATCGAGAATACGTGAACAAGCAGAAAGCCTATGAGAAAAATATGGACGGACGCCTGACCCCCGAACTCCGTGCTACGTATTGAGGTTTCAAGGGTGACGTCCTCGGCTTCAGAGGCGACTCCATTGTAATCTTCTTTGCATCCAAGGTAAACTGAATGGCATCAGCAGCAGCTTTTGTACGTAAATAATATCTGACGGAAAAACAACAGTATACACTCGCACAACGTTCTCGAGCTGTAAACTCACTGTCCAGTTTTCAATCCCAATTTCCAGCCATAGAAGTGCATGGAGGAGAGCTTGGCGTTAGTACAGTTGGTCATATGTATATTCAGTGACTGGGATTGGTCAATATACCTACAACCACCATATAATAACTCTTCGAAAACGCACACAATCGTACGGTCCTCGCCCAGCGGCCATGTCCAGAATTTTTTTCTGTTTTATTTCCCAGACAGTCTTATAGAGTTCCTGAACACATGTAATAACTCTTCCTAGAGACCACGACCAGGGTTAGTCTTCACTCACCTGAACTTCCTTAGGGATCTCCTCGACCCCCTGCACTGAGCCTTTCTGCCTGATTATCTTATCCTTTATTTCGTCGTTCCACAACCCTAGCTCCATAAGGTCATCGACCAGATGCCGATTCACTTGGACGAACTCGCCGGCAAGCACCTAAATTGCAAAGCAAGTTCGCCAGCCAAAAAAATCTTTCAACAACACCCTACGCGGCGAACATATATGTTCTGCGTATATGGTTCGAAAGCCTCATTGTTTCCGAGTATTTGAGCAGTGCCTGGAGCATTAACGCGTCAAACAATATTTACTATAGTGAACAAGGCTTACTGGCGGTAGGCATTGGGGCGATCAAAAGGGAGTTACGCATACCGTTCTTCTTGATCTCTTCCTTCAATGAATTCCAATCCCACCTGCCCGAATCTGGGGTCACATCTGAGAACAAACGGGTGAACATTTTCAATAGACCAAAGCACAACCTCCTACCCCACATATCAAACTGCAGGATCCCCTCGCTAGCTGGACTACCCTCGAACGTCTCATAAGGCCTAGCATAAGTACATGACATAACTCAGCCTTCCCGAAGTGGCAACTCACCCATCCTTCTTGGCCAACTCCATGCTCGCCTCACACGCGGCGTGGTAGATGGTCTCGAAGATCTCATTGTTCAGCTTCAAGGCCTCAGGCGACTCGTATGGGAAACGCATTAGGAGGAATGCATCCGCAAGTCCCTAGTCGAATACGTTCTACTTGGCCGTCAACAGGGCCCGCCAATGTGCCCACCTGAACGCCAATTCCAATAGGTCTATGACGCATGTTGCTTCTTCTGGCCTCTGGAACAGGGTAATAGTTGCGATCGATAACCTACAGCTCCAACCACTACTTCAATACGCCCAAACGAGAGTACTTACCTTGTTCAGGTTTCTAGTCACTACCTTGGTGACTCGATGAAGACGGTCAAAGTCATAAGTACCTAATACGACCAAACTGATGCTACGCCGAACTAAGCCCAGCACGACTCGTTACGGGTCTTTTTATCGACGAACATATTGAGTGCAATAGAGGCGAGGTTACATACGGCTACTTCATCCGGGCTGGTGTACCTGACAGAGCTCTCTTAGGTAGGCAGCACCAAAGCTGTACACTACTCGATGATTTCACAGCACAAGTTAGAGCATCGAATCGTTCCGAGGTTCTTCTGGTTACTCTTACGGTTCGCCGAGTCCTTATATCTGAACTTAACACAGTGGACCACCAAGACGGCAGCCCTTGAGCTCCCCCATAGAAGAGGGGCCAACTTACAACATGTATGGAATGCCGGTCTCTTGCTGTGATTCCAGAATTTTGAACCACAGTGACTGGGCTTTCACTGTCTTCCTGCCAATACCATCCTTCTCATACTTTTCATAAAGAGCCTCGAACTCGTCACCGTATCTACCCAAGTACGAATCCCATCACAGACACGCCCCCCAAAGACGCGACACACGACAGATCAGCCTCGACGTGTCTCACAGATGAGACCGGATGCCCTAACGTACGTGTCCTGGAGGCCAGGCGCCTCGTTGGGACAAAATAACGTCCAGTCACCGTTGGACATAACGCGCTTCATGAAAAGATCGGGAATCTGAGCAGACCGCATCACACGTGATAACCAACGGTAAACTGTATGCATACCCATAAGGCATAGAAGAGGTCACGAGCACGCTGCTCTTCCTTTCCATGATTCTTCTTCAAGTCAAGGAACTCGAACACATCGGCATGCCACGGCTCGAGATACACCGCAAAAGATCCCTTCCTCTTACCACCACCTAGCCAATCATCACCACCGCAGACCACCGCTACCATATTCGTTCACCTTGATCCACGTATCTCGCAGTATCATTAAACACTCTTAGCATCGGAACTATCCCATTAGAGAAACCATTGGTGCCTCTGATGTAACTCTCAGTAGCTCTAATGCCAGTAATAGCAACACCAATACCACCAGCGGTCTTCGAGATCATCGCGCCTAAATCACACGTGGTGCACTCCTGGCTGGCGATACGTGGCGAAACCCACACTGCTTCAAAGTGTCATAGATTCCCTCAATAGAGTCTCCCTTCATAGAGAGCAAGAAGCAGCTCGACATCTGAGGATGCGGTGTACCCGAGTTGAACAGAGTAGGAGTAGCATGAGTGAACACTCTAGTGGACATCAGATCATATCTGACCATAAGCCAAGACGTAGGCCCTCACAAACTGACGACCACGACCACTCCCACGTCTCTATAGCTGCGTCCACATCATCACCATGGATACCCACTGCCACCCTCATGATCATGTGCTGCGGTCGCTCAATGCATGACTTATCCGAAGGCCTTTTCAACAGATACGATCTCTCCAACGTCTTGAAGCCAAAGTAATCATAGTCGAAATCACGCTCATAGTCGATCGCCTGCCGCCGCGAGTGCACCATCCAGAATATCTTCACCTTCTCACCTTATCAAGCTTTTCAGCATTAGCCATGACTATGTTGTAGACCTCCTCACTGACCAGAGGGGCATGCCGACCACGACCATCGGTGATTTGGTACAGCTCAGTGACCTGATCACACCTACACCCTCAAGACGCTAGACCGACCTCCCTACCGTATCCGAGAACTTCTCGTGAGTGTTCTTGTGCAAGTTACTGACAGCAATCCTAGCCGCCAGAGTGGAGAAATCTGGATGCACTTGCGACATATACGCGCACGTCTCAGCAGCTAAGGAATCCAGCTCCTAAAGCACACCAACATCAACTATCGAGATCAAACCCGACAAGCTCCGACTCACCGTAGTAGTGACACCCGGGTAAATTCCTTCAGCAACCTTCTGCGTTATCTGCGTCACATCCACATAGTCTTCGTTGAGGCCTCTAGTCAACGGACGAATCCTCTACAAGAAGAAGCACGCGCTCATCATAACAGCAGTTCCGACAAATGATGACGTACTCTGGTGATCTTGTCGAACTGAACATCAGCCTTCTGTCCATTACGCTTGATCACATACATAACCATTTTCGGCGAGGAAGATCTCAACACACAAAGCACCGAAACAGCTATACAACAGCAATACACGAGATCAATTATCAACTCAAAACAAGTCCAACGACTGCATCATATAATTGCCTGAGATAATAACAACAACCTATCCGTATTGGCAGCTCGCAGTAACTAAGCATCCCGTGGGAGCTTCTTCGACAGTGAATTCTTTGTACCAACTTTCTTGCAGTACCTACCAAGCACATCACGCTACAAGCTCGGCACGTTACACACGAGCACAGCAGTCATCATAACAACGACTCACTTCTTCTCCAAATCGTCGAGGAAATCACCTTGCCGCTTCTGTTGCTTTTGGCGTATAGCGAGGGCTAGGTCTTCCAACGTGGGCTCCTTTTCTGACCTACACACGGCAGATATACCCATGAATGAACGACATACAGTAACATCACTTCTTCGCCTCCTTCGCCTCTCGCTTACACTTAGCAGCTAGGCGCTTCCCATTACGTCGGAGCTTGACTAACGACGACTCGAACACCGGTAATAGGTCCTGCATAAGAAGATGAAGTGTATCCCATCAGTGAGGCGGCACCAATCATACTAGTGCAACATAGCTAACAAACTTCTCCTCAGACTTTCCAATACCATCACCGGTACACCAACATGCGGACTCACCTGCCTCTCCGAAGTCACGTACGACCGGATGAACTCGGCAAACCTCTCCACATCATCCGGGGTAGATAGAATGATCCACTCCAGTAGCTCAGATACATCACCACTAAAGGCACCGATAGGCACCCAAGGTGACAACACTTGACAACACGTACTTATGCTCCTCCACAAAGCGCCGGAGGTCTTCCTTCTCCTCGTCCGAATGTCGGTACTGAGCAGCGAACGAGTCGATGTCCTCAGCTGTCAAGACCGGGTACAATCTAATCACAAGTTACTGCTGTACCACAAAGATGAACAAGTACATTCTCCTTCTCACTCACTTGCGATAATATTGATACGCTTCTCTGAATTCGCTGCTTTCGTCCTCGAAAACAGCGAGATCTCCATCGCTCTCATCATACCTGCCGTCAACAATGACTCACCGTGCTTGAAAACCCTACCTCTTCTTCTGCTCAGGATCACTCAGAATAGTGTACGCTCTTTGCAGTTTGACGAAACTCTCATTTGCTCGGGAGTCGCCGGGATTCTTATCGGGGTGGACCTAACTGGACGACACGACACATGTCAAAAACTCCTGAAAATGGATACTAACCTGGCGAGCACGAAGCAGATAGGCTTTACGAATCTCACCAATACTAGCATCACGTTCTACCCCAAGGAGACGGTACCTACCAGTGGGGAGGAGGTTGCACTTCCCACCGAACGCTGAGGCTGCTCACTTACAATAAGAAAGCATCATCCCCGTCTTGAGGAGTTCCATCGTCCCCTCCATCGCAGGTCATGTCGATAGCTAAAAAACGCTTCCCGCGAATTTACTCGTTACTCGAACCAAACCACAGTGACGACCAGCGGTATCGCAAACAAGTATAATGGGTACACTCCCCAAGAATCATTCAAGCAGGGAAAAGGCACTGAAAACGAACACAGTAGATTATAGTGCAAGCTTCAGACTGTGGTAGTGACTAAAAGGGATGCACTCAAGTTGTATCGGACACCCTCGACGAAGGCCATCTACTTCTTAGTAGTGTGGAAGTGATCACTGTAATACCTATCATAGAGACAATCAACGTAGATCCATCAGAAAGAGAAGCGCTTACAGATCGCTGATGTAGCTTTGTCGATCAAGGATTGCGAAGTTTTTCTCCTGCTCCTTGAGGAAGTCCGGTTCTTGTGATGCTCGCGTCGCCTCGTCGAGGGCCGCGAAACGGTCAAAATCCGAGTTGGTCTGAACACAAGAACCCCTCATTCAGCAGAGGTAGACAGGAATGCGATCGCTTACAATTCGCTGGAAGTACTGCTTGAAATTGGGGTCTTGGAAACGGGAGGCTGCCCCCATGCATCTAGTGAACATAGTCTTCACCGCTGGCGATAGTGCGTTCAACTTAGCCGGTATCGTTGACATTAGTAGTGATGAACTCGTGAGAAAACTGAGCAGGAGAAACATAATCACCACATGGAAGGCCTCTGCTAAGGGCGGAGCACGTCTATCCGGACTCAAGTGCTCGACAGTTATGCATCTTTGGAAGGCTGAAATTCTCCGTAAGAAGCGCGCGCCATAGTGATCGATTACTCAAAAGGGGATGAATTCAATCGACTGTCTACTTCTCTGCTGCCTATCATGACCGTCAAATACGCTCTCTTCGACTTGGACGGGACTTTGACAGCTCCCAGAGGTGCTGCTACTCCCGAAATGTTAGAGCTTATCCAAAAGCTAAGGACTGTGGCAAAAGGTAGTGCCGGGGAGGGACGCTGAACTCACTTGATGGTGGTCGTTGGAAGGGCCATCTGCCCTCCTATTGCGACCAAAACTTCAAGCAATACTCTTATCAATCTGAGTGTATTTCAGTCGGCGTGGTATCTGGCTCTGATCTTCCTAAACTCAATGAGCAGTTTACAGCTGACTGCAGGGACTGCGTAGACTACACTTTCCCTGAGAACGGTATCATAGCATATGAAGGAAAGGAAATGGTAGTACTGCATTACACAGCGGGTATGCTTAGCCTCACATACCTTCAGATCGGATCGCATAGTTTTGCCGAGTTCCTCGGGGAAGAGAAACTCCAGGAGATGATTAATTTCGTTTTACGATACTTTTCGGAGATCACCCTTCCTGTCAAGCGGGGAACCTTCGTCGAGTAAGAGCTGAATACCTCCAATGCCGCCGCCGACGACCTCTCATCTAGGTACCGCATGGGGATGCTCAATTTTTCACCTGTCGGACGACAGTGTTCTCAAGAAGAGCGAATCCAATTCAACGAGTAACTCAACTGTATTCCGGCTCTTTCGTTGACCGTCATCACGTCAGATACGATAAACAACACGGAATTCGTCAGAAGTTTGTCGAAGAGATGGACAAACAGTTTAGCAAGTGAGCCTCGGGGTGGCGACTGTCATAGAAACTGGTTCCCAACAGGTACGGTGTTCAGTTTGCTATAGGCGGGCAGATTTCTGTCGATTGTTTCCCCAAGGGATGGGATAAGACCTTCGTTTTGCGGTACCTCCCTGAGGATGCAGAAGTACTATTGGAAGCAGGTGAATCACCATCGTATCTTTGGGCATAGATTCACTTTTTTGGAGACAAGACTACACTTGGAGGAAACGACTACGAGATTTATGAGCATCCACGTAAGACAAAGTCGCTGCGCCACAGAATTGTAAGTGGCGTTTATCATCTCGATATTCCGAAGGTACAATAGGCCACTCTGTGAAGGACCCTAAGGATGCCATGCGGCAGATTAAGGAGATTTTCGGTATATAATCGAACCCCGTAATGGGTCTTGTGCGAAACCCCCTTATGTCCTCGCTATGTGACTTGTGTTAGTATCAAATCAACAGGTGTAGCAATGGTGTTCATCTCGCGATAAGAGAGTACACTATGAACGGGAAGTAACAGTAACGTTATGAGCTTATCGTTTTGACCATACAACGAGGCTCACTCTACTCCTCATTACGCTTCCTCTTGGGACTCCAATTTGAGAACGGTCGACAGCAGCACGATTCATCACTACACTCTTGGGTGGTCTTCAGGCATCGTATGCCGACCTCTTTGAAGACCTTACGGGGACCTTCAGGAAAGTCTACCATACTGAACCCTAGTTCGCCAACTTCACCGAGATAGACACTAGGACCCGATGTGCCTACGAAAAGAACAGCATTGCATGCGGCTAGTGACTCGAGAGCTTTACCATCATCTCTATCGTAACCGACCAAGAAGTCGAAACGGTTGGCCGGGCTGCCGTAGACGCTCTCTGTGTCCATCCATTTGTAAAACTGGTCAATAATGTGAAAGCAAATTCGCTCCACCTCCTGCATTCTCGGTACGTCGCCGCGGAACCACTTCTTCGCGGCTTCGACAGTCTTAGTCTCGTGTTCGAAGTCGATAAAGAGACCAGCTGAGTTCACAGCTCGGAACCTGACCAAAAACACGATCGACCAACTCGATCGTTGAAAAGTTGGATAACCTAGTATAAAGGATCCTCTCAACTTTTCCGTTCACGACGAACATCCGTAATTCCAAATCTACTGGCACCCTCTGTTGGACGAATACCGAGTCGACCTTGCAACCCTTCTGTTCGAACAAGTCAAGCATTTGATAAGACAGTTCCCCAATATTATCACAAGTTCTGAAGAGAGTAAGGAGCTGAATTGACTCAATTGCAACGTGAGAGGAATCTCACCTAACATCAGCAGCCTCCCAGGAGTATCCAAGCTTGGCGATTGCACCTCGAGGAAGAGGGTTCCTCTTCTGAGCTCCACCACTGGTCATATCGCATAACGCCGACAGCCGCTCCCAAGTGAGCTGAAATTGCTGGCAATGAGAGACTACTGACAAGCGACTGACTCACTCTGGCTGCACTGTCTGGGGAGGCGACGACGTGGCCACGAGAAACGCGGGTCGTAGGGGGCAGGTGAAGGTCGGGTATTGTACAGAGATGAGCATAGAAAGCCTTCGACACGATGGTATCCAGCCTGACATGTAGGTACTCACATCACAGATATGCGTACTGTTACAGATGGCTAGGATGAGGGAACATGGTGGGGACTCCCATCGCCTCGATGCCGACCATCAGCTCGAAGAAGGCGTCCTTGTCAATGTAACCACCAGCATCACTGATGTTATCCTCGAATGCAGTGGGCCAGAGGAAGTACCTTCATCCGGGTAATCGGCTGAGAGGAGCACCTGCTGTTGACTACATCGCCGCCTTATGGCGACCAGTGAGCATTTGTCTGATCGCTAGCGGGCTGATTTTCCTCAGATCATCAGCATTCGTGACGAAGGCACTGAGGACCTAAGAGGAGTCATCATGGAGGCAGCGCGAGTTGATTCGTAATGGTGACCTCGTAATCGTTCCTGGCAACCTTCCTTATGCCCTTCTGCATCATGTGGCAGATGTAAGTATCCGAGACGTTAGAGCCAGCCTCTCCCCAACTCTCCCAGTCGTAGTCGTTCACTATACCGAAATTGGGATTACCCCAACGCACCTACATAGCGAAGCACGTACACTCTCGGTAACATCATATTGCACCATTGAGGGCTCACCACGAAGATAGAGAGGCTGGGGGTCGGAGGGGACGTGAGACGGACATCTCCAGGGTAATAGGCTTGCTCTATGTTCCTAGTATCCGTGGTATTCAGCACATCCTGTTCCCGATCAAACCATATACGGTGTTCATATCGTACCTATGGACCAAAGCATGCCCACACACCCAAGCTCTAATGTCGACCTTGACATAAGTGTCGTGTTTAGCAGGATTGAAATCGGTCTCCTTGAAGTCCTGGATGACCACTGCTGGTTGCCATCGATCGCTCCACCCGATTTGTGGCCTGTTATAGCCCTGTACGTGGGTGTCCACAGCGAACCAAGCAGGGTCTCTAGGGCCCTTCTGCATCTGATAGAATACCCAAACCTTCGTGCCGGCCTTGACATCACCAAGACTAGACTTGGAGCCCTGCTGGTTACGGTGATGATGATGTGAAGGAGGAGTGGTATGGCCGTCCGAGTTCATAATAGTATCCATACGTCTGATTAACGATAGTGCATCGACCTGGTCCCACTTCAACGCAATAATGGTAACGTTGCCTTGACAAAAAGTACCGTAGATGAACTACTGCTTCAAATATATAAAACATGAAGTCATTCCGCACCCCTGATGCCGCCCTCCTGCCCACTCGTATGCCTCATCTCAATGGCTTGCAGTCGGAGCTCTCTCGAGCTACCGGACCCTGAATGCCCCAATACTGAGTCACCGACTGACATCAAGACTGCTACCATCAGTAGTAAGTTGACCTTCAGAGGAGCCCGTTCGGCGAGGGAAGAAGCTCATGAGCCGACCCAAGGTACTCTCTTGGGTACCACCCAAGGCATGCCCTTGACCTGTCGATGACAAACTTGTCTCTACCGAGATCGATCATTGACCTACCCGTAAAGAGCTGTTGCATGGGAGGCCTGACTGGCAGGAGTGGTTGGCCCGAGGAGCCGGCCCCAGCATTGTGAGTAGCCTCATCATCATAGTCAGAGATGCAACAGGCACACCAAGAGCCCCACCAAGCTAAACGGTTCACCCAGGGCGGCAGTGGTCGGCCGATAATCTGATACAAGAACCATCAAAAAGATCTTCCAAGATACATCGTCACCCACCGCTCTGCAAAGAGCATCTGAGAAATGGTTGCAATTTTTCTTCACTATGTGATAAGATTCGCCACGATATTCGTCCCGGAGCTTGTCGAGGGCAGCTTCTATCTGCCGCATGCTCAACGACGTCCGCCTGTGAGAGGACTGTGACTCTTTCTCAGTGATTCCTGTCCAACCTCACCCCATATCAAGAGACATCTTGAACCGTGCATCTGGTGCGTCCCGTGGCCGACAGTCGTAGACTCCTAATTCCCTATTACCCGATTACATACGGAAGCTGCTCCCCACCTTCGCCTTTTGCAAAGGAATATTCTCTTCCCATTATTTCAACTCCGGTATGATGAGCCCCACAGCAGGGAAGCATCATGTTAGATTCTGCTAGGTCGTACACATTCACGCTCACTTGTAGTTGTGGATTCCGCATGATAAAAACGCTAATACTACAGCGATTACTACTACTACTACTACTACTACTACCACTACTACTACTACTACTACTACTACTACTACTACTACTACTACTACTACTACTAGGACACTGTGATACTTAGACTATAACGCAAGTGAGGGAGGGTATATAGCATTGTCTACCAAGGTACTTATCAAATGAATACCACCTGAGGTGGGGCCAACTACTCTCAGCTTCTGCTGTACTAGAGGTAAGGCCATGGTAGCTTCTACTACTGTCTTTACAAAAACACACGGATAAAAGTACAAACTGTTAACATTGATGATGAGGTCGCTGGAATGGTGCTGTGGCCGTCTCCCTCATGAACATCGTATCAATCATCTTCTCATGCTGGGATTCACATGTCCCCTTCGAGGCCCCGGTGGATACCGCAGGTACCTGAGTACAGTCCAGCCTCGAGATCGTGGGTTCAATCCAAGCACTCGTCAAACGCCAACAGCTTCGATCGAGATTAGCTCGCCCTCCATTACGCTTGTTGATGTGCCGTAGCCGCAGCCGCAGCGGCAGCTGCTTGTTGAGCCGCAGCTGCTTGCTGGGGGTTGGCAGGGGGATGAGGTAGATTAGGATTCTCCCCTAGCGCTGATAGGAGGTCCATCGCACCGGCCATTGCTGCTGTTAACGAACCACAACTCACTGAAACGTCAAGAAGATACCTGAGGCAAACACGTCCCAGCCTCGATTCTAATTCGAATACTCCTCACCTAAGCTGATGCATCCGATAGACGCTCACTGAGAGCTCATACAGCTCTTTGTTATAGGCCGGTCGAACCTTCAGTTTCCATGGTGACAAAGCTTTCCATACAAAGCCCAGCCCAGCCAGAGTCCGCTGCACCGTGAGGGTGACTTGTGCCGCTGGTACCTAGTGCCATCTCGTGAGCGCCATAACACTGTGGATGGGCCTACCCCCATAACCTCCATGCCTAACTTCCACTTAGCCATACTATAATGAGCACTGGTAGCTGTACCACCTCCCATCTGGGGTCCACCCCGAGCAGGTCCACCGGGTCCTAAGGGAAATAGGTCAGGATACGATGCCACGCCATTCATGCAACGTACCCATGCCCAGACCAGGGAATCTAGTAGCTACCGCAGCCGCTGCTGTGGGTGCCAGAGTCGAACTGTTAGTATCTGCACAGACCAGAATTTCCAAACTGACTCAAGACTAGAGTACGCTAAGTATAGCTCCAGCTGCACACACTACATGCTATCCACTGCGCCCAGCTATACACTTACTGTTGGCACATTCTAGGGGAGTATCAGCGTACTTGACCTCGAGGCATTGGTCCAAACCATTCCGCTCAGCTATCTGCCGGCGCTCCTCTAACGTGAATACAGGGTCACCCTGGAGGTTTTCAGACGGAGTCACAAAGTTCCTGAGAATCATCACCATGACCTAATTTACCGCGCGCCACGAAATTGCAACCGACCCAAAACTCCCTTGGCGTTGGATTTTATCGTAGATGAGCTCATAAGCTACTCGTTCACGAGGGGTCAACTGTCTTTGGGTCCGCAGTAGGTTCGAACCTATCCCACACATTATGCTATTCAGTACTGACGGATCAAGTAGCGCTTCCTTACAACTCGTATTCGAAGCCATCATAGAGCTGCTTCGTGGGTCCACTGCGCTCGAGATGGAGGTTACGTTCAGCTTGTGGAGTTCCTACCACACCTCGGTCACTTCCGCCTGACATCACCCATCCTTACCTCGATAACGCCCTTATCAAATAGATGAGACTTATCCGGTCTCAAGTCCCGCAAGGGGTACTTCAAATAACTGAGAGCGCACACTGGAGACCCTTTATCATAATGCATCCTACTCAGGAAGGTTCTTCTTAAACCATTTATGCTGCCGAATCTGTTCGATCGTTATCCTCTTAGTGCTGTCCACAACAAGCATTTGAACCTGAGGACAGAATTGAAATTCTCCGCCACTATCACACTCACAATGAGATCTTTTGCATCGGCCGAGAGATGCCCAGGTAGAGTAAAATTGCCATGTTTAATCTTCCTAAATAGGTTAGGCACCTGGTCGCAGGAATGGACACCAAGAAACCACCACTATGGACTACATTCTCATCATCGAAGGGCAGTGACCCGCACAGCAATGCATATAGTACAACTCCCAACGACCAGACGTCGACCTGAATACGAACAATGGGATGTGCATGCTGGTATAATCCGTTGACACTCTCAGTGACAGGTTCTAAGCATTCACAGTACTTGGAAGGTATGTAGCCTTGGAGCACGATACTAGTATTGCCTGTGGTTCTATCTAATACCAACGTATGTAGCTTTCCCGACCAATACCAGAATAAGATGGTTCAAACCGTGACCTCAACACATGGTCTACGAATCCGAGTCCATATCTCAGGAATGCGTATCATCGCTGCTGCGTATGATTCGAAGGGTGAGACCCAATGGTACTACCTCAGGTCCGACATAAAACCTTCCGGAAACAACTTCAGGAGATGCGTAGTTCGGGCTTCCACAGGAAGTCTTCAGATACTCACCATCACACATCTTATTAGAGAGGCCTGAGAGAATAGTTAATACACACAGAGCCAAGATTATCGATGTGCTCACCGAAGTCACCAATCTTGATGTTGCTATTAGTGCCGTCCAGAAGGAGGTTTTCCGGTTTGAGGTCTCTGACAACGACAATCGTAGAAAACCGCTACGACAAGGGAGTATCTCCATGGCAGGCGAGGACACACTGTCGGCATGTCAAATGGATCGCATCCATTATAGGACAAGCTCTTTGGGCAAACCCCATCACTCGAGGACCGACAGAAATTAGAGCCGAAGGGATCAACGGTGCCGACCAATTGTGTAGTTGGCGTGCCAAGACATGAGTCTTCCTTCCCGATGCCTCACCGATGAGTCACTAAATGACGGTGACAAAAGTCCAGACCCGATAGAATTTGCTGGAAGAACCTTCTTGCTTCATCCTCGGTTAGGCGCATACGATGAACAATATAATCGAACAACTCGCCACCTACAGTAGGCAACAATAACACCTTATGCTGGTTCGTGGCCCGGCAAGGTCACCTCTGCCTACCCGAGACGTATTCCATGATCATGAAGATTTCTGATGGAGTGTCGATGAGATCGTACATCCGAATAACATGGGGATGAGCCATCAACTGCATGATGTTGATCTCACGGGACAGCTTCCCGTGCATGTTCATCTGGTGCATCTTCTGCTTGTTAATTATTTTCACAGCGACCTGACCGTCCACAACCACAAGTGTGACAACTGCTAACCTGTCGTCAACACTACGAGCATTTGATGGCTCGATTCACATCAACATTCTAAGTACGACCATTTGTAGGCCAGGTAGATATTGATCATACAAGAACGAGAACATTCGCAATACGAAGTCACTCCTCTTAGTTGAAGCGATGCAAGAGCGCAGCCTTAACCCGGTATCGGACTACCTTTTCCTTAGTCACCACATGCTCAGCCAACTTAACCTTCCCAAAGGTCCCCACCCCCAGCGTATTCAGCACTAGATAGTCTCCAATCCTACAGGCACCCACTTGTCGTTGATGGCCGCCTCCCTCATGATGATGATGGTGCTCCACTGTCCCACCTCCATGCCGTATATCTACGGCGGGAGATGATGACGATGTAGCTGTTTGTCCGGTCATGATAATAATAAATACACAACCGACCAGAACGATTCAATCGACGAGGCGAATCGAGATTGGGCGCGCGCGGTTTCGATCTCTGGCCATAATTTTTCAAGAGATCAGCTTTTCGAATGCTCAAGGGCACTACGCCATCGTCCTGCCTCAAGCGGAACAGTCTCATTAGTAGCAAGATTAGTCGAAATTAAAGTTAGTGCGGTCTTGCAGACGGAATTGATCTTCCAATCGCCTGTCCTCGCGAGAATGTAGTACAATCATCGTACTAAGGCCTGACTTGCTGTTATATCGCATAGGTGCCCCAGCCGATAGAATTGCTTGTACTAAAGCCTATCTTGGGGTTATGGCATAGGTGCCCCAGCCGAGGGAATGGATTGTACTAAGGCTTATCTTGGGGTTATGGCATAGGTGCCCCAGCCGATAGAATTGCTTGTACTAAGGCTTATCTTGGGGTTATGGCATAGGTGCCCCAGCCGAGGGAATGGATTGTACTAAGGCTTATCTTGGGGTTATGGCATAGGTGCCCCAGCCGAGCGAATGGATTGTACTAAGGCTTATCTTGGGGTTATGGCATAGGTGCCCCAGCCGATGGGATTGATTTTAATTGATGCGGAATTGGTTTTCAAGAGATGTATTACATTGCTGATAGATGTATTCGTAAAGTATCCCAACGGCCTGCCTGCCATGGTCATCAATACCGCCGCCCCCGCCGCCGCATTGGGGGCTCATGTCCCTAGGGGTTGGTGAATCGTGTGTGTCGTAATGCTTGTGGTTCAAGGGGAGTATATTGTAACACCGCCGACTGGTAGGGTATATCAGTGTGCTTGTTAATCTTATACCCCCGGGTCTATCCCGAAAGTGACGTCTAGTTCATCAAAATTGATGTCCATTGTTCATGTTGCTCGGACTGCTGACTCAGCAGTACTGATATGTGTCTTCACGAGCATCCTGTTGTTCTCCTCAGCGAGTTCAACAACTGAGTTCTCCTATCGATTCTTCTATTGGTTGTCATGCCAGTACTTCTGCCATCTCGTGATACCCGTGATACAGTAACCTCCGAATGGGGCTATAGTTATCGGGTGTGAAACCCCGCACCTCCTTGATGGATCCCTTATCTCATCAGCGTTGTTCATCTTTTTCAAACATGTCTGGTCGAGGGGTCATCGCTGGGGTAGGGTCGTCTACGTCATCCTCCTCACAGTCGCCTCCTCCTCCTCCTACCGCTAATACTTCTCTCCCGCCGTGGCCAGGTGTAACACCACCAGTATCGGAGAATTATCCTACGCGCGCCGACTATGAAGCAACAGAGGAGCTGCGGCACTTCATTGAGAACAGGGCTCCGCCAGAGAGCTCTCATGGAATGCTGAAACGGTAGTGCTAGGTGCGGTCTTGACGGGCGTCTGATCTCTGTGGCAGATACGAGGTATTGGTAGAGATCGAGCGAATGGTGAACAAGTGGATCTACGATGTCTCAGCAGGAGAGATACAGTCGAAGGCACGTGTCCTAACGTTTGGGAGGTATTCTCTGTAGAATTTTCGGATATGGTAGAGATGGTGGTCTCAGTTTCCGTCTTGGAGTCATAACACCTATGTCTGATATTGATACTCTTGTCCTCCTACCTAATTCGATATCTCGGGATGACTTCTTCACTGGTGAGAAGGTCGATCTGATAGCTTATATCGTAGGAGTCCGTGTAGATTTTGTGGAAACGATGCTCAATCGCTCGCCTCATGTCACTGAGTGCAACCCAGTACCAGCTGCTCACGTACCCATTATAAAGGTAGTGGTTACGGTGTGTAAAGTAGTTTCACATTGGTGTGGTATCAGGTGAAGTACCGTGGGATCTGTATGGATATATTGGCCGCCTGTGTGCCAACTCACGTACTCTCTGGTGATGTTGATTCGGTCCAAGAGGAGCTTATCTACGACGTTGAGAAACGGTGCATGAAGTCAATGAACGGCATTCGAGTCGCTGGTGGGTGCAGGGAGATTGATTGCTGCACTAAAGGCATCGTTATCAGATAAGATGCTATCCCTCGTGGTGGATACGCAGACCTTCCGGCTCGCCACCAGAGTTATCAAGTATTGGGCGCAACAGAGGCTCATCTATTCAAATGCTATCGGCTACATGGGAGGGGTATCTTGGGCTGTCATGGTAGCGTTACTGCCAGCATTTCAACGGGAGAGGCTGATACCTGTCGTCTCCTAGGTTGGGCGTGTCTGCCAGTTGTATCCAAACTACTCAGCGAAGCAGATTGTAGAGAGGTTCTTCTTTGTCTATGCACGCTGGCAATGGACTGCTACTAGAGATTATGGCAACAGTAATGTGCCACTCAGGAGGTAGCTTACCTTGGCGTTTCTCTAGGTGTTGCTGTAACGTTGTGTCCGATAGAGGACGCAGCCAGCAAGGTTCCGCCTGAGATAGCTGCCGAGCAGGGCCTTCGAAAGTTTAAGGAGTGGAATCCGAACAAGTGAGGCGCTGTGAGTCGTCGATGATCTTGGGAATAGTCATTAGGTACACCTCCGATAGGCATCATGTGATGCCGGTGATCACTCCCATCTTCCCCACACATAACACCACCTATAACGTACAAGAGTCCAATAAAAGGGTCATCGTGCGGGAGATCAAGCGAGGTGAGATAGAAAATACTGGAGGGGCCACCGAGACAGGCTTCTCAGGCCGAGAAATAATGGAGCTCATGAGCATGAACAAGAGCAGTGGAGCTACTAAAGGAAATGAAGTTACCTGGGCAGATCTTTGTGCCCCCTTCCCCTTTTTCCAGGTGAGTCTGTCGTTAGCGGCTGAATCCGGAGCTTTCTCACGGAGCTGCGTTATCTCCCATTTTCAGGTTTATCGCCAATTCCTGCTACTAGAGATAAGCGCTGAGACGGAAAAGGCATTCTTGAAGTTCAAGGGCTTGGTAGAGTCCCGTATTAGAGTGTTGGTGAAGAATCTTGAGACTTGCTGCGGCCACAAGGTAAGCTCACCATCATTGTCATCTCCTATGACCCATGATCAATAGGTTCTGCCCCAACCCCATCCTGTCATGTTCCCGAGGGGGCCCTTAGGGGCTGATGCCATACCAGGCGAGGCTCCTACCTTCCTTGGAGCCTTCGTACTCGGCATAACATTCGACCATATTGCTACAGGTTGGCCGGTGATTGGATAGTAGTCGAGATTGAGGGTTCAAACATCTTCAGACGATCTGGCGGCATCGGCCGAAGTGAGCAAGGAGATTAAGACGGCTTGTGATGGCTTCGCAGAGCACATCACTCAGGCGGCACTGTCAGATGAATGGGACTCCTTTAGAGGGCAGTTCAAGTAGGGCACAGTGTGGAGCATCGGAATTATTGGGATCATGACTTCACTCGTTTCAGTCTTACAATACTGCATCGTTATCTATCTGATTTGCCTGCATATATCCGCCCTAAGCCAGCACGTCCTCATTCAGTCAGTTCGAAACCTGCCGTCGCAAAGGTCGCAGGTTCGAACCCTGATACCGCCACCTTGGTCGAATCGGCTAAGCGGAAACGGACAGAGGAGACTCAAACAGGAACTGCACCTGTTTCGAAAGAGTCTCGGCTCGGGGGTGCATCGTGACAGGTTACTGCCGTATCAGAGTGGTAAAGCTTGTGAACACAAGCCATCATCATCAAGTTGCGTGTTGTTGGTTGTGTATGTTGTAGCATTGACGGATTTCTCGTCATGAACCAATGAGAATTTTTGTTGGGTTATTTAGTCAATTCGGACCCTTATTGGTACGCAATCGGGTATCTACGGCAACCCAGCGGACGTTCCGTCCCTACTGTATTGCTCATAAGACAATCACGCGAGGTGAGTATATGATGATATGATAGGATAGAAAAGCTCGAACTTCCACCCCCCCCCCCCACCACTGACCAACTCGAAATTCAAAAGAGTAGGTTTTCCCTCAGACCCTAGTGGTAGGTATACGCTCACCAATATCATCACTGTCGTCATATCGAACTCAAAAACGATCATCAGCTTCATTAACCTCTCGCAGTGAAGAAGGGAAGACCGCAAAAAATAACTACCAGTCACATCGTTACTATCATTATCATTCGGCGGAAGACAGCTCAAAAAAGGTATTATTGAACGAACTTGTCTTCGCGCACGAGTAGCTTGCGCCCTTCAAAGTCGTACTCATTATACTTCTCTGAAAGGAGAAGTATCCATAACAGAAAAAGTGTATGGTGGAGGTGGCTCACCGATGGCCTTGGTAGTGCTCTCTTCATCCTCGAAGAGAACAGTGGCGAAGCCTCTAGAACGGCCGTCCCAACCTTCGGCGATATCGACACGTATAACTTCACCGCATTCACGGAAAAGATCTTTAAGATCTTGCCAGGCTGTCCTCCAAGGTAACTGAGTAGGAGGGTACTACTAGGAGCCATACCATAGTAATCTGTTGTACGTTGCCAACGTAGATGAGCCTCCCTTTATCACGAGGGCCAACACGAAGTGGTCTGAGGCCGCCCTTGCCTTTGTAGCCCTTAAAACCCTTACCCTTACCAGCTGAGGACGAGCATGTGTAAGAGGGTATCCGAATTACCCACAACTTACGGTATCCCCAATCAAATCCCCAATCCCAATATCCCTTCCCTTTACCCTTCCCTTTCCCTTTACCCTTACCCTTACCCTTGCCACCACGAGGAGAGCCTGTACCATACAACACTACTACACAGTAGAGAAGAGACCTGCCCAAGACTACCACTCTCGGACCAAGGCTTCGCAGGGCCACGGTCCTCTCTGACAAAGATCTTTCTCTCGCCCAATTGCGTCTCATTGAGCGTATCAATAGCCTTCGCCACTGAGCTCGCCTCCTTAAACTCGACTATCCTGCAAGCCACTTGCCGATGCTCAACACGCGTTCGCGCGATGCAGTCCATGCCGCCAACAGTGACTCACCCGCAGCCTTTGGATTTACCATCGTTTCTGGTCATAATATCGACCGACACGACAGGTCCAACCTTCTTCATATGATCACCGAGCTCATCTTCGGTAGTCTGAGGTGATCATATTGGAAGCCTCTTGGGAGTATTCGAGACGTAATAATACCAACTTACCGTCCAATCGAGATTGCCAACATAAACACACTTTTCCTGCGATGCCATACTGCTTCCTTTAAATACTTCTATCAATAACTATTAATCCGCTGTGTCGAAAGTAGCACTTGAGCGCCGCCCGCCACGTTAGGAAAATAATACGCCTGATCGTACCGCACTCAGTTAAAAGAGCACCCGGCGACCGTGCGACCTGCGTCGAACAAAAAAGCGGATTCAAGTCATTGCAAGTGTGCAAGATTTAGTGTATTTCGTCGAACCTGCGGGACGCCCAGACTCCTTCACTAAATTTACGTAAGTAGCACTTTTCTCCCACCATTCTCCAAACTTCGCCACTTCATTTTCCGTCCGCCATACTTCACAGTTCGTCGCTTAATCGTCCAAGTCAACTTGACCACGATGGAAGGATTGTGTCAAGTGGGCATGGCTAAGCTAGTTGCGCTATAGTTGACGCTAGTCTTTATTCGACAGTAGCTCCTGACTGTAGTACGATAGTATGATTAGGATCCCTTAGTAACGGGTCGACAATTCTGCAGGGTTCTTCACTCATTGGTGTGGGAAATACCGTTAAGCCCGTCTTTGTAGTTAGATGGGAATCGTATAAGTTCATGAAGCGTGTGACACGCCGCGTGTCCACTTCAGCGTGT